AAAAATATATATAGTGTATATATATATATACATACTAGTTCCTGTTTTCAACAATGTCAGTGTCTTTATATTGCATCTGTGTTTGCATTAAGCACCTACCATGTACCAGACACTGTTCCAGGTGTGGAAATACAGTTTCCCTGTCTGTGAGCAGGGATGATGATGTAACTGTAGCAGAATAAAGAAAAGCAGAAGCCTATCTGGCTCATGAGAAGTGACCAGTAACCAAGAGCAACTAGAATTCTGCCCCATTGCAGTCAAAATTTCATAGCTTTCTTTTTTGCTACCAGTGCCTAGCACATAGGCAGATGCTAAATAAGTACTTGGTGAATGAATGAATGGATGGCTGGAAAGTGAAGACACAGAGAATAGACTGCAGCATGGAGGGAGGGGGGCGATGGAGAGAAGAGATGGTATTTAGGAGGAACCCAGGGCCTCATACATGCTAGGCAAACCATCATTAAGCTACATCTCTAGCCCTTTAAAAAACTGAGGCAGAATTTCTCTAACTTGTCCAGGCTGGGCTTGAACTTCAGCTCCTCCTGCCTCCTGAGTAACTGGGGTTGCAGGTGTGCATACCCTGCCTACAGTGGTCTCTTTCCCAACTAACCAGACCTCTCCCCATGCAGGTATTCCAAGGTCAAGCATTTACTAAAGGACCTAGATGAGTTGATGGAAGCCGTTCTGGAAAAGATTCTGGCTCCAGAACTCAGCCACACCAACACTACCAGGACCCTGAACCTCGCCATCTGGAATCACACACCCCTGGTTCTTATTGATGAGCGGAACCCTGACCACCCTGTGGTTCTCGACTTGTTTGGGAACAACCACAATGGCAGCAGCCCAGACCCAGGAAGCACCTGCAACACTCAGGGGTGCAAGGTGGCCATGAGGCTAGTAAGTGTCTCGAACACACACACACCAAGCCATGGCCATCCAGAGAGGCTGTTGGGAGTCTTTAATAACATGGGACTTGCTGAAAAAACCCAGTGCTATTTTGTGTCTCCATAACTTTTGGAGGGGTGGTGCTGGACAGGGTCTCTCACTGGCCTGGGGCTTACCTAATTAGGCTAGGCTAGCTGACCAGCGAGCCCCAGGGATCTGCCTGTCTCACCTTCCCAGCACTTGGATTTCAAGCAAACACCACTTCACCCAGCTTCTTTATGTGAGTTCTGGAAATCAAACTCAGGTCCTCATGCTTGTGTGGCTGAGGTATTCCCCAAGACCTGTAAAGCATTTTTTAAGCTGCTGTGTTAGTCAAGACTCTTGGATATAAGTGAACCCAGCTCAAACTAATTTGTGCAAAGCAAGGGGTCATTGACACCCATAACTGAACTGTCCACAGATCGACTGGGTTCAGGAACAGGTGGCTCCAGTACCCACATGCTCTCCTGAGGACTAATCTCCCTCCCTCATGGTTCAAAACTTGTTCTCTCCTGGCTGACATCTCAGCCACTTAGCAATCTCTCCCTACAGTTCTTTCTCAGTAGAGGCAGCAAAGACCTAGTGCTAACTCTCCAGGTCACATATCGCTCTTAGACCAATCACTGTGGACTATGCGACAGCCTTCTATGATTGACCAGTCCTGGATCATGTGCTCTGCAGCCAGAGGTGATGTCAGTCTCACAAGGACATTAGCAGGGAGGAGACAGAGACCAAGAAACCAGTGCCCTCACCCAGGCTGAGGTGCTGCCAGATCTTAGAGCACTCTCCCTCCCTCAAGTGGAAAGAAGGCCTCATCAGGTGTCTGGTGTTCCGGAGCTCTGTTACAATCCAGATTTTTCATCCCTAGAGGGCCTGAGCAGGCAGTTCTGGGCCCGGGCCTGGGAACTTGCATTGTTAGTAGCTTCCCTGGTGACTGTAAGGGTTAGCCTCTAATGGGGACTAGGATGGGGTGCAGTCTTCGGAGGGGCAAGTATCTGCCTTGCTCAAGCACGTGGTCACAGCTTCTAAACCCCTCTACCTCCATTCAGACTAACAAATGGGATGGAGCCCAGGAGCTCACCACACATTTTAGGGTGTGGTCACAGGCTCCCCATTCAAAAAGCCAGCCCAGCCCTGCTGGCTACACTGGCTCTCAAGATGAGCCCTGTGTATGTATGTGTGCTTGTGTGTCTGTGTGTGTATGTGCATGCGGCTACATGTCTGTTCGCACAAACATTCTGGGTGTGTCTATGGATGTTTGTATATGTGTAATATATGTATTGTATGTATATATGCCTGCTTTTATCTAGCAGGGTTGGGGGAAAGCCCTTCTTCATAGTCTGAGCATCTTCCTCATGGCTAAGAAAATGCCAATGCCCTCCTCATAGCTTGCTGTCAGCATGGTAAGGGATCAGACACAGAAGGCTCTGGACAAAGCAAGGGTTCAATAATGTGATAGCTTCCTTGAAGGGTGACAAGGAGGTCTCCAGGAATAGGACTGAGGATGGTGCCCAGGCTGGCCATGCTTAGAGAGCTGTCTGTGAATGGAGATTGTTGTGTCCTGGATAGAGAAGGCCGGACTGCTGTGAGGACCAGTGACCCAGGTCACAGCTCCAGGGCTGACTCCGTCACCTTGTGCTTTGCTGTGGGGTGGCTTTGTGATTCAGCAGGCTCTGGCTGACAGATCTGTCCTTCCCAGAGCAGGGGAGGCTAGCAACTTCCTGAGTCAATTCTCTGTGTGGTCCACACAGCCTCCACATCAGAAAGTTTGGGAGTCAGAGGGCCCCAGAGCAAGCATGTGTACGTGTGCACATGCAAGTTTCCATGGGAACTCACACAAATGTGTGTCTATTGCACTCACACAGGTGTGCATGTATGTACATACCCTTGAAGTTATATTTATTACATTTACTTCAAGGAGGAAAATTTTCATTGTGGCCCACAGTGTCAGAGCCTGACAATCATGGTGGGGAAGGTATGGCCGAGCAGCTCAATTACATTATGTGGGCCAAGAAGCAAGGAGATTGGAAGTGATTGGGAAAACACAACCCCAAGGACCTGCCCCCAGTGACTTGCTTCCTCTGACTGCCACAGCCTCCCACATGGTACTACCAATTGGAGAACAAGCATTCAGAACATGAGTCCGGGCTAGGAATGTGTTCATTGGTAGACTGCATGCTGGCCTGCATGAAGCCCTGGATTCCATCCCCAGGTGTTGGTGGTACCTGCCTATAATCCCAGCACTGGGAAGGTAGAGGCAGGAGGATTAGAAGTTCAAGGTCATCTCTGGCTACCTAGTGAATTCTAGGCCAGCCGGAGCTACACAAGACCCTGTCTCAGAAAACAGTCTATGAGGGACACCAGATTCAGTCTACATTCTGATAGGTGGGGTTGTGGGTTGGTGTGGGTATGTGCACATGCAGCTATGATAAATACATCATGTGGCTGTGGATGTCAGAGAAAGCATGCATCTGTACAGGTGTCCGTGTGTGTGTATGTGTGCATGCAGCTATGATAAATACATCATGTGGCTGTGGATGTCAGAGAAAGCATGCATCTGTATAGGTGGCCGTGTGTGTGTGTGTGTGTGTGTGTGTGTGTTCATACCTAACAACACCAGTGGGTGCTGTATATAACCAGTCTCCAGCTGTGTATTCATGAACTTGAATGGGAACTCATTTCCCACTGCTACAGCACAGCCACAAGGCAGCTGACACAGTGCTGCTCTTGCTTTTCTGGGTTCCACAGAGCAGTGGCCCTGACAGCAGCCCTGATGCTTTTGGAAACCTCTCTTGCTTTCCACAGTGCAGCATCAATGGAACTGTGTGCACCTTTCGAAACTTTACCAGTGCCACCCAGGCTGTGACCGAGTGGTACATCCTGCAGGCCACCAACATCTTCTCACAAGTGCAGCGCCACGACCTGGTGGAAATGGGCTATGCCCCTGAAAGCATGATCCTGGCCTGCCTGTTTGGGACGGAGCCCTGTAGCCATCGGTGAGAGTCACCCCTGTCCCCTGATCTGACAGTGGAGCCTTTGAGTTAGCAGCCTTCCAGGGCTCAAATCCCACTCAGCTAGCACACAGGCTAGTCTGTGCCTTGGTGTCTTGGGACAATTCACTGAGGACACAGCTTGAGACAGGTTCATGATGCATGGAGGGCATCACTTTGGGAGAATTCTGCAAGGAAGGCAGGTAAGGAGGCCATCTCCCTAGCCTTCCACCGCTTCCCATATTTCTAGAGATAGGGTCTTGCTATATTGTTCAGCCTGGTGTGGAACTCCTAAGCTCAAGCTGATTCTCCTGCCTCAGTCTCACAGTATTGGGATCACAAGTGAGCACAATTACTCCGGGCTACTCCCAGTCATTTCTGAAGACTTGCTGGCCTCTGTCTGTCCAGGGGAGGTTTCTAGAGCAGACCCTCACTCTGGTTCCAAAGCCTGCCAGAGCTGGCACAGTTTCATTGTGTAACAGGCATTACCAACAAGTGAACAGTTGACACAGATGATGACCCAGAGTGTGGCCTTTGGGAGAGGACTGGCCACACCCCAGTAGCCTCCCCTCCCAGATAGCCTGCATCTGCCCAAGACAGTCACTTGGGAACACTGTTCTCACAGCCTAGGGTGAGGTCTCTCCAGAGCAGGGACTGGCTGTAGCCTGTTCACTCTGCTCTCTCCCTGTGTCTCCCAGCACATATACATATATATGTGTATAGGTAGAAACAGAAACACAGAGATATAGACACAGAGAGACTCTGTGGTACCCACTGAAAGCTCTTGTTCCCCTCTGGGCCTTTGTCAATGTTATGCCGCTCCAGAGGTTACCTTTCCCTCCCCACCCACTAGACCTCACCACCTCTTCTTCACCTTTCAAGTCTCTGCTTAGGCCCCACCTTGACCAAGACACCTTCCAGACCCACTCCCAACCCCCTGGGGAATTAGGTGTCACCCTCACACCTGGCTTATCTCTGTTGATGGCTTTACCACATATTATAGTTTACTCAACAAATATTTACTGAATGTCTGTGCATTGCTGCATTGTATGCCAGGCCCTGGAAATAGAGGTGAACAGTAACAGCCCAGATGTTTTGTTCGTCACAGCATGCTAGGCATCCTGCTCTCAGCTGGGTCCTGAAAAATGCTGTTGTCCTGGGGATGAACTAACAGCTGGGGAGAGGTAAGGGATACTTTGGAGCTCATCGGCTAGTGAAGGACAGAGCCAGAAATCAATTCAGGCAGACTAGCTCTGGGCCTGTGTTCTTGACCTCTGGGCTGTCAATCTGCAGCTTCAAAGTCATTGCCCTCCTTGGGCCTAGGGTCCACAGCAGGAGCAGTGGTAAACAAGCAGCTAAATAGGGGTGATTTCCCAGTCTGATACATGAAAGGGAATAAAGAGGTGGAATTGTGAGGGGCAGTTCACCTCCCCTCCTGGCTGAACTGCCACCAATCAATCTCTCACCAGACATGGTTTTGATCAATTCCTCCCCCATCCCCAACCACCACTATTCCTTCCCAAATGCATATGTTCTTTTCTTCCTTTCTTAAGCCCAGAAGTCCACTTAGTGTGCTTGGCTGTAGGGCCATCTTCTGGAGCATGGGTAGTCTCTCAGAGGCTGCATCCCTGAAGGAACCAGATTCTTCCTCCCCACACAGTCACTGTCTGTAGTTCCTCAGCTAGGGGTGGACTTCCTGACCACCTCCCCGCTCCATGCTGGGATTTTGTCTGACTTGCATGGGTCTTGTGCATGTTGTCACAGCTGCTGCAAGTTCGTATGTGCTCACCTGCTGTAGCCCAGAAAATACTGTTTTACTGTAGTCATCCACTGCCTCTGGCTTTTATAATCTTTCTGCTTCCTCTTCCAAGTCTCATTTAGGGTTAAGAATTCTGAAATCTCTAATTTTTTACACATTGACCAGTTATGGGTCTCTGTGTTAATCACTAATTACTGTAAAAAGAAATTTCTCTGATGAGGCTTGAGATGCATTCCTTTATGGGTATAACAATGTCTTTAGGAGCCAGTTTAATACTATGTCCACTTAGCAGACTAATAGGAGTAGGTTCTCCCCTAGGGCCTCTGACATACCTAGGCTCGGATTCTTGGCCCAGTTAATGGTGCCAGGCATGAGTTCCGTCTTGTGAAACAGGCCTTAAATCCAATCAGAAAGTAGTTGGTTACTCCCACAAAATTCATGCCACTATTGCACCAGTGTGGATATCTTGCCCCAGACGTCATAGGCTACCAAATAAAAAGGCTAGTGCCAGATATGGGTTACCTCTGGGGGTGAGGATCGTGCATGGAGAGGTCAGAGGACAATTTACAGGAGTCAGTTCTCTCCTTCCACCATATGTGTTCAGGGGATTGAACTCAGGCTGTCAGTCTTGGTGGCACATGTCTTTACCCACTGAATCATCTTTCTGTATGCCAAGCACCTCGGGATCTCATAGAAATCTCTTCCTTTAGCCACCCAAGTACTGGAATTTCAGGAATGCGCCACCATACCCAGCTTGTGATTGTTTTGGTTTGGTTTGGTTTTTGAGACAGGGTCTCACTGTGTAGCCCTGGCTGGCCTTAGAACTAGCTATGTTGACCAAGCTGGCCTCAATCTCACAGAGATCTACCTGTCTCTGCCTTCCAACTGCTAGGATTAAAGCATGAAATTTTTGCACACGTAAGAGCACACAATGTTTGCCCTTCTCACACTTGTGGATTTAGTTTCTGTTCATCTATAGGTGACTTCCTTTTCTCTCACACAATTCATTTATTGAAAGATCTGGGTTATTAAGTTCCCCACTTTCCGTGGTATCTTTTAGCATGCTCTCCTGACCCGGTTCTTGCTAACAGCTGAGTTTCCATCCTACATGCTCTCATTTTTGAGACAAGACTTCCTCCTCTTTAATCATTACCTTTATCAAACCAGAAACATTTTTCAATTTTTAAAATTATTGTATGGAGGGAGATGCAAGTGTGCTGTAGTGTGCATGTGAAAGTCAGAGAACAACTTTTGGGACTTGACTTTCTCCTTCCAATGTGGGTCCCAGGAATTGAACTCAGGCCATTGGGGTTGTGTGGCAACTTTTTTTTTACCTGCTAAGCCACCTTACCACTCAACAATCATAGGGACTAAACTATTAAACAACCCATTTAAATCATTTGGGTCTTGACATAAACTGTAAAAACTACTGGTATTTTTTGAGACAAATGGCAATTGGAACTGAATATTTAATAAGCATCATTAAGGGATTTTGCTAATTATGTTGAATGTGGTAATAATACTATTTCGGAGAGCTCATACTTTTAGAAATATACATGAAAACCCTCATAAAGCCACATACAGTGGTGCACACCTATAACCCTAGCAGAGAGAGGCAGAGGCAGGAAAAGCTCAAGTTTCAGGCCAACCTGGGTTGTACAGTGAGACCCTATCTTGAAAGTCTAAAAGCAAAGGGGTTAGACTATGGATGCAGCTTTCTCTGCATGGGACTAAGGCAAGCATCTGAAAGTTTTTTCATAATTCATAAAGGCTAAAGCAGCCCAGCCCCTGAGACTCCTTTTCTCCCTCATCTCCTCTGGCTTCCACGGGAGGGATGGACCAGAAATAAAGACCTATGGCTCACCTCTCCCTCCTGGTGCCTCTCTGAGAGGGTATGATGGACAGGCAGCAACCTGCTGACTCCCCTGTTCCACAGACCAGGACAGCAGGCCATGGGGGAAGCGCCCTGCCCTCCAGCCTACACTGTTTCTTTTAGGAACTTCACGCCCATCTTCTACCCTGATTATGGCAACTGCTACATTTTCAACTGGGGCATGACAGAGAAGGCACTTCCTTCGGCCAACCCTGGGGCTGAATTCGGTGAGTTTGGGTTCATCAAGGAACTAGATTCATGAGACTCTAAACCCCAACACATGGGGCTGAAAGACTCTGGTGTCAGGTGTGAGACTGAGGGATAACTGGAGGCCAGCACAGAGAAGCCAAGGCCACTGCCAACTGAGCCTCAACTGTGAACCAAGAGGCCCAGCAGGTGTCTTCTCAGTTACTGTCTTCCCAGTGCCAAGATCCCCGGGGTTGGGACTGGTGTTCCCCTTTTAAAGCTGGTGAGCACGGTGAGGGTTCAAAAGCAGTGCAGCCTTGTGATGGGCTCAGGCGCATGCTGGGATCAACACCCAGCTCCACCATTAGCTTGAGGGGTGACCCATGGCTGAGATGTCAGCCTCAAGGCCTCAGTTTCTCCTTTCAGAGCTCAGTACATGGTAGCACTGCATGACACAGAATAACATGCACAGCTCTTAAGTCATAACAACCTTATGTGAGGAAGCCACTTCACCATGCCACTGGTGTGCTGGACACTCAGCTGTTCTTACACACCTTGTCCAAGGCCACCAGTGGCTACAGGCACTTGCTGTTAGCCTCTCTGCTGTAGCGGCTGCATCAGAGGCAGGCAGAGAGGAGTGAAGAGCAGAGGCAGTGGAACATGGCTGATGATAGATGCTCATCCCACTGGCTTGTCCTCTAGAGAACAGCTGGCAAAATCTGGGTGTGGTGATACATACTTGTAATCCTAACACTTGGGAAGCTAAAATGGGACTATCACAAGTTCGAGACCAGCCTCGGCTACAGTCTGAGACATTGGAGAGGCAGAGAGACAGAGACACAGAAAGGCACATAGACTGAAAAGGTAGTCATCAAAAGGCAGCTGGCCTTCCTTGACCATCAGGACTGCTGACCAAGGTGATGAGATGGCCACCTTCACCTAGCCCTCATGAGTGAAAACGCTGTCACAGAGCTACTGGGCCACTCACTTGAAAGGCACGTGACTACAACAAGGAGTCAGTGGGCCTGGTTAGAACTCCAGCAACTCCACTTCCTCCCAGAGCGCCCTTAGAGACATCCCTTCACCTCTTGTGCCTCAGTTTCCTCACCTGTAAAATGAAGATAACAGTACCTATCAAAGGAGCTCTTGTGAGCATCCAATGAAATCTTTTGTAATAAAGTACCTTCACAGTCAGGCCTGATGGTACAGGCCTGTGACCTCAGCACTCAGGAGGCTGAGACTGGAAGATCACGAGTTTGGGACGAGCCTAGACTGCATAGCCAGACCCTGTCTTAAAAAAGCACCTCTCCCAGAAATCAGCACGTATGTAGCAAGTGAAAAGTGGTAGCTCTGATTGTCCCAGGCAGAGACAGTCTTCATCCCCTCACACCAGCTCAGGGCTGGGAGTGGAAAGTCAGGTCAGGCCTTTTAACCCAGCAGTTAAATGGGGAAGACAGTAAGAATCACCCAAGTGAGGCAAGTACTAGGAAAGTTCCAGAGCAAGGAGAGGGTAAAAGGAAGCTGGCAGTCAGGAAAGCTGCTGAAGGAAATGCTACTGGGCTGAAATCTGAAGAAAGGAGGGGTGGGAACAGCATTCCAGAGCTAGGGAACAGCGCCTGCAGAGGCCCAGCAAGGAGCTCCGTCACTGCAAAGGACTTAATAGGAAGAATGGGGTCAGGTGTTTCATGGGATGAAACAGGTTAGGCAGTGTGGGTGGGCAGGGTGTGCTGTGCAGAAGACACTGTGGATAGGGCAAAAGAGCCCAGGACAAGATGATGGAACTCTGGGGTCTGAGTTTGATGGGCCCCAGAAAACCTCTTGACTGAATGAGGCTTAGACATGGGTGGTTGGTCTCCCTTCTGTCTGGGGGTAGGAGGGCTGAATTCAGCAGCCCTCACTACCCTTCCCTACAGGTTTAAAGTTGATCCTGGATATTGGCCAGGAGGACTACGTCCCCTTCCTGGCATCCACAGCAGGGGCCAGGCTGATGCTCCATGACCAGAGGACATACCCCTTCATCCGAGAAGAGGGCATCTATGCCATGACAGGAACGGAGACATCCATCGGGGTGCTAGTGGTACAGCCAGGGCACCAGGGAAGCCTGAGGGGGGAGGGCTGAGGATAAACGCATCCCTGTTCATACTGACCTTGAATGGCCTGAGGGTAGTATCCAGGGCCCCCATCCCACCCTTGCCTACCACAAACCCCAATGCTTGGCCATGCTCTGGAAGCAGTATCCTCTGGTGCCCTCTCTGGTGCCTGCCAGGACTTACAGCTTCCCATTCCCCTTACAGTGTCTGGTTGGCTCCACGGGAGAGACCTTCAAAGAGGGTTTCCTAGGGGTTACCAGGGGTCTCCATGAGCCACCTCTCCCCACAGGACAAGCTGCAGCGCAAGGGGAAGCCCTACAGCCCGTGTACCATGAACGGTTCTGATGTGGCCATTCAAAACCTCTACAGCAACTACACCACCACCTACTCCATCCAGGTGTGAAGGCAGTACAGGCTTGGTGACCATGGAGCCCTCTGGAAGAGCTGGGCTAACTCTGCCTGATTTTATTTGAGATAGAGTCTCCCTATGTAGCCCAGGCTGACCTGGAATTCACAATCTTCCTGCTTCAGGCATGCAGCGGCAGGCTGGACTATTGTAATGTAGGTGACCCTGGCGCTGCTGCAGAGACGAAAGTTCTGGGTTCCAGCCAGGGCCAGGTGCTGGCCATCTCTCATCATCCTTGGGAAGATGTCCCTGGGGGGCGGGGAGCTGGGGGGACATGAGATTTAGCTCTCATGTGTGAGCTGTGCTGAGAAGGACCTGAACCAATTTCGTTATTTGATCCCTTCAGCCTCTCCTCTGGGCTACCAATATGCCAACAGCAACAGTACTTATAAATGTATTCATTGCAGCAGGCTGGCCATGTGCAAGGCAGGCACTGTTGCAAGTAATTTACATGCGTTACATCATACAATCCTTGCAGCACCTGGAGGATGTACATGCTATTAGCAGCCCTTGTATAGGAATGAGGAAATGGGTTTTACAGACCCCCATCTGAATGCCTCATCAATTTACCTAGTCAGTTTCTCTCTTGGGTTACTGCCCTCAGCCTCCCTTGCTGTGTCTGGGAATTTCCTCTCCTCCTGATCTCTGAGGCCAGTCTGTCCCTCCACAGCCCTGAGAAGACACACCAATCCTTGAGAGAACCAAACTGACCACTCACCGACTTTCTCCCAGCCTAGCTTGCCTTCTGAGATGAGGAAACAGGCAAACCAGGGGTGCCTACCTCCATGTCTGGGAGTCCTGAGTTTAGTGTTGTTTCTGTTTGGCCTTTCTATCTACCTGCCCACCTGTCCAGTCACCCCATTTCCATTCAGGATGGCTTGGCCACTTTCTGTCTGGGGGCTTCTGTCTGCCATGGAGAGCTCAGGGTACTTCCTATGCCTCCAGAGGGACAGAGGAGCACAGGAAGGCAGGAAACACAGAGGAGGAAACCCAAGCCTGTCAGAAGTTCTGTCCACTTGCTGCCAGGAGCAGCCTGGGCTGTCCCAGTCTCAGTGACAGGGTTGGGACAACACCTGCTTTCCAGGTGAAAGGACGAGGTCTAGAGGTGTGCAAGACATGCACCCAAGTCAGAGCTTCCCTAATCCCTGCTACCTCTTCTGGGTCCTGCTGGCTCCTCTTGGCCATGCCTCCAAATCTGCTGGTCAGCCCAATCTCTTGCCAGGAGACTCCAGAGGCCCCTGCAAGAGAAGGGCAGCTGTACTGCCTGGATGAGAGGGCAGGGGAGAAGGGAAGGGGCAAGCAGAGGCAAGAGGAGCCTATATGGGTTAGGGGCAGGCAACAGTAGTCTGCACTTACAACACAGGACAGGGAAGAAACAGATGTAATAATTGTTTACCAAGCCCCTGATGCTGCACTAAGTTCTCCAACCTTGGGAGGCAGGTGTTGCACCCTGTTTCTTTGTGAGTAAACTGAGGCTCAGAGGTTAATCACTTGCCCCACGACACATTTGGTTTGTGAGTGGACAGAAAACAGGTTGGAATGACCTAAACACTGGGATGTTGGGACACTGCAAAAGTCTCACTACATCAGTCCCTTAAAGATCATTCTTCTTCCCTCCTTGTGGGTCCCCTCTACCATGAAGCAGCTCCGAGAAGGTTGCCTGCCATCCCTTTCTGAGTACTGCAGAGTTCAGAAGAGTGCTGGACTTCACAGGCAGAGCTGTTAGCGTCCTTGAGGCAGATCACTCTCACCCATGCCATCTACAGGACCCAGCCCTGGATGGAAAGAGTGGGGCTGCTAGGACCCAGGCCAAGTCCCTGTGCAAGACCCAAGGAACTGCCATGAGGTCAATGTGCAAGAGCAACCATGACTTGATGACAGTCTGCTTGCTACAGCTTCTTAGCCTGAAGGACATTTCTGGTCCCAGGCTCTCTTGGCCTGGCTAGAACTTCTCTGGGCTTCTTCCTTCTGGTACCAGAGTAAGACCATCTCCTACCACATCTAAGATCTCTTTTATACCCCCAGGCCTGTCTTCATTCCTGCTTCCAAGACCACATGATCCGTAACTGTAACTGTGGTCACTACTTGTACCCACTGCCCCCAGGGGAAAAATACTGCAACAACCAGGACTTCCCAGACTGGGGTAAGTACGAGGCTGGATGGATGTGACTACAGGGTGGGGTAAGAGCTCCATCCCAGGGGGACCTTCTCCCCAACCCACAACCCTCCCAGGCCTTCTTCCACAAGAACCTAGCCTCTTTTTCCTTCCTTCACTCCTTGAAGTACATGCTTTAAGACCCATAGGTGTTGGGGTGAATTATCCCTCTGGGTAGACTATGTGCCACATACATGCCTACACATGTGAGCCAGTGAGTGGGGCTGCTGCAGTATGTGATGTGCATGCACTTGTCTTCAGATGCATGTGAAAAAGTGTATCTGTTTGTGTCTAATTACACAGAGTGCTGTATCACTGTAGTATGTGTGTGCTCACAAGCAGATAAATTGCTTCTGGTGTCTGCCTGCACACACAAGACTATGCATCCATCCTCAGCATGAGGGGACCTAGGCTAGGAGGAGACTGTGAAGAAGATGCCTCTGTGATGGTGGCCTCCAAGGGCAGCTACAGTCAAAGAACAAATCCCCACTGGGTTCCCACTGAGGAGGAGCCTAGGGGACCTGGGTGCTCAAAGTCAGTCCAGGGGTGCACTCAGCAGTCATGGGTCCTATCATCAACATAATACACAAAAGAGGCATTTTTTTCAGGTCATTCATCTTACTGTATGTGACCTCAGAAGCCATCCTCTGGGCAGGGATGTGGAGGGAATCAAAGGACACTCTGACCTGCTGAGCTGGGTCTAGGACACTGAAGGGTGCCATCTCAGGCTGGGCTGGGGCAAGATGGCTGTGGGGAGGGCTGTGGAGTGATGACCTCTGAGACACAGGGCTTGGACTGAGTCTCCCTTAAATGGTCTGGGGGAAGGAGAGTAGAGGCTTTCTGGGGGAAGGAGGACCCCCAGAAGCAGCCCTCCTGGCTCCTGACCGCCTTCCTCTCTCCCGAGCAGCCTATTGCTACCTAAGCCTGCAGATGAGTGTAGTCCAGAGAGAGACGTGCCTCAGCATGTGCAAGGAGTCCTGCAAGTGAGTGTGGCATGCAGGATGCATGGTGCCACCAGGGGTAGGGCGAGGAGGGCACAGGGATGGCGGGACAGCAACAGGGCTGGCTTCTCTCTTCCAGTGATACCCAGTACAAAATGACCATCTCCATGGCTGACTGGCCTTCTGAAGCCTCTGAGGTGAGATGGTGGAAGGCCAAGCTCCTGGTCCTCTGTCTTTGCATTGAGGACTGGTCTGAATTTTTAGCAGGGGTCTTTTCCCTCCCTCCCCCTCCCTCTTTATCTTGTCCGTCTGTCTCCCTTCCTTCCCTCTCTAGTCCTCCTCTTCCATCAATACTTCCCCAGGCACTATGCCAGGGACAGGCAAGAGTTTTTTCCTTATGGAGTTTGCAGCCCAGTTGGAGGGAGTCAGTATATATAGAGGAAAAGATCATTTCAAAGTCATGGCTGTGAAGGACTTAAGCAATGAGCAAGGGGGAAAAGGAGGGAGCACTTTAGACCATAGGTCAGAGAAGGTCTAAGGAGGTGGGTGCATATGAGCCAGGGCTGGAGGCAGAGCTGGCATGATCAGTGCCAGGGGGATTCTGGGCAGTGGGAACAGCAAGTAATATGGCCGGAGGAAGGGATGATATGGAGACAAGACAGCTAGGGAGCCGAACTCCTGCTTCTGACAGCAACCAGGCTTCTCCTGTCTCTCCTGCTCCCACCCCAAGGCTCAAGCTTCAGGAAGGTATAGGGCTGCCCTCCCCTCCCACACACACAGCAGCAGCAGGGCTGTGCCTGGGAGAAAATGTGCGGACACCCTTTCCTTCAGCTGCCTTCTTGGGTTCTAGGACTGGATTTTCCACGTCTTGTCTCAGGAGCGGGACCAGAGCACCAATATCACCCTGAGCAGGTGAGACTGGAGTCTGGACAGGGTTGGGGAAGGCAACAAAGTGGGGGAACCAAAGCTCAGGCGGGGTCTGAACACTCATGGAGCAGCTGCCCAAATACCTTCTGCTGTTCAGATCCACGTACAAAACTAGAGGAGGAAGCTCCGGGGGTTGAGAGGGGAAAAGGCAGCAGATGGCTCAGGGACTACCACCCCCTAGCAGAGGAGTCTGCTCCTCCATCTGTCAGCACCTCTCCATCACCCATCTCTCCATTCTTTTTTAAAATTGTGTGTGTGTGTGATGTATATGTGGATGCTCACATGCATGGCATGCACATGCAAGTCAGAGGGTGTTTGTGGAGTCAATTCTATCCTTCCACCTTTACATGGGTTCTAAATATCGAACTTAGGCCATCAGGCTTGCACAGCAAGTACTTTAGTCACAAAGCCATCTCTCCAACCCCAATCCTCCCATTCTTCCCTATCCACCCATCCACTCCCCCACCTTCCATCTATTCTTCACAAACATTCCAAGTGCAGGGAAGACAGGGTCTACACTACCAGGAAGCTCTAGTAGTGATATAAAAAGGGCGCCCAGCAAGGAATGTTTTGCATCAGCCCCCACTCCTTTAGGAACAGGGAAGAGGAGATTAAGAGTGCCTGAGAGAAGGGAGTCTTAACAGGTGACACCTTAGAAGTAGGAGCTGCTCCAGCAATCAAAGAGGCCAAGATGTCCAGGCAGAGGACAGAGCCCTGGGCAATGGCTTGCAGATATGAGATGGCACAGCCTTTCCAAGGACTTGTGTAACAGAGCTGCTCCTCTGTCACCTTCTCAGCCCCATGTGTCCTGGTCACCCCTACTTGAGGCTTCCACAATTTGAAGATAGGTGGCTGTGCCACCACAGGCCCAGAAGTGACCTGAGGGGCCATCTCAGATCAGAAGGTCCCTTAGGAAAATGGCAGAAATGGGAATGAAGAATGGGTCCACAGGACAGGTGCTGGGCACACCCTTTGTGGTAAGACCCAGAGCAAGTGGGAAGGGCAGCACTTACAGGTCTGACTTGGATGTCCCCACTCCTAGGAGCAGGAGTGAAATTCAGACTGGAAGAGGGCTGGGTGTCCTTGAGTGCCCTTCCTGTGTGTGTGCATGTGTGCATCCATGCCCTGAAGAGCACCATGGTCCCAGCCCATTTTTCTGCCTCCTGTAGGAAGGGCGTTGTCAAGCTCAACATCTACTTTCAAGAATTCAACTACCGTACCATTGAGGAATCTCCTGCCAACAATGTGAGTGTGGGAGACTTTTGATCCCCAAGTCCCAGGGATGGGACTAGGAGCCCCCTAAAGCTGGGCTAGATGAAAGAATCTGTGGGCACCCCACCCACACCTGGCCCTCAGCTTCCTGTTCCCCACAGATCGTCTGGCTGCTGTCTAATCTGGGAGGTCAGTTTGGCTTCTGGATGGGGGGCTCGGTGTTGTGCCTCATTGAGTTTGGAGAGATTATCATCGACTTCATTTGGATCACCATCATCAAGCTGGTGTCCTCCTGCAAAGGCCTGCGCAGAAGACGAGCCCAGACATCCTATGCTGGCCCACCACCTACTGTGGCCGAGCTAGTGGAGGCCCACACTAACTTTGGCTTCCAGCCTGACACCACCAACCACAGCTCCCATGCCGAGGTTTACCCTGACCAGCAGTCTCTGCCCATTCCAGGCACGCCACCCCCCAACTATGACTCCCTGCGGCTCCATCCACTGGACACCATGGAGTCAGAGAATGAAGGTGATGCCATCTAGACTCCACCTCACTCAGCAGATGGCAAACTTGAAGCTTAAAAGCTACAACCATTGCCAGTGCCTCATTTTATGACATCTTGTCCAAAGAGCCAGAATCACAAATGTCCAAGCCAGAGCTCATATCCCTCTACAGAAAGCCAGCTGGTCAGTCCCAGACTGAAGGCTGGGTAGGCCAAGATGCTGGTGCCAGAATACAGCAACTCCATCACCTGGTTCCTCCACATACCTTCCACTCTTTGCCCTGTATTCTTTTGGCCTCACATGTCCTTAGCTTCCAGAGACCCCTTAGGCCCCCCTCTTGATGGCAGCAGCCAGTCACCATTTGCCCTAGAAATGGACACACTGTGCTTTTGTTCCACCAGAATCAGTGACCTGTCCCTGGTTGGCCTTGGCTGGCCTCTCAACAAGCTTGGGGGCCAGTGTGCTGGAAAACAGAGGGAACATTGGGTATGGAGGCCTGCCGGGCGGGGGGGGTGGTACATGCCTTGTTACAGAAAAAAAAAAAAAAAAAAAAAAAAACAGAAAAGAGATTTGTCCCGCTAGGTAGCCAGAGTGTCTGGGGCTAGAAGGGCAGCCATGCAGATTTGTGAACAAAGAACTTTTAAGCAGGTCAGGGGCAGTATTAGCTTGGGACTCTTACAAGTTGTCCCCAAAGCAATGGCCAGAGGGCCCTAGCAATGCCACCTGAACAACTACTTTGGGTTGCAAAGACAAAGAGAAAAATACAGACTGGCTTAAGCAAAACCAAACATGAAGGGGCCACCTGTTGTGGTTAGTTTTTGTCAACTTGGGAAGAGGAACTTCATTTGAGGAATTTCCTCCATCAGACTGCCATGTGGCATGTCTGTGGGGCATTTTCTTGATAGCCAATTGATGTGAAAAGGCCCATCCCACTGTGGGTGGTGTCATCCCTGAGTAGGTGGGTCTGTGCTATATAAGAAAAGTAGCTGAGGGGCTGGAGACATGGCTCAGCCGTTAAGAGCACTGGTTGTTCTTTTAGAGGACCCAGGTTCAGTTCCCAGCACCCATACAGTAGCTAACAACCATCTATAACTTCAGTTTCAGGGGATCTGACGCCCTCTTCTGTCTTCCGTGGGCATTGCACAACATGGGTGCACTTATATGCATGTGGGCAATATACTCATACACATAAAAATTTAAAAAGTAGCTGAAGCCAGGGGAAGCAAGCCACTAAACAGTGTTTCTCCATGGTCTCTGCTTTAGTTCCTATCTCCAGGTTCCTGGTTTGGCTACCCTAGATGATGAACTGTAATTTTTAAGTCAAATAAACCCTTTCCTTCCCAAGTTGATTTTGGTCAGTGTTTCATCACAACCACAGAAAAACCTATACTGAGTTCAATATTGTATAACTGTATTAATTCAACTGTGAACCTAAAAATTTTATAGTCACTTCTGAAAGAGATGTATCTTTGTTCTGGAAATTGAGTATGTTAAAGCTGTAATGAAATGCTTCTCCTAAAAAATTTTTTAAAAAATGATTTCTCCAGAAAATTTTTTTAAAAATTAAAAAAAAAAAAGAAAGAAAAAGAAAAACCAAACGAGAACACCTATAATGCCAGCTCTTGGAAGGCCCTCCTGTCTCAACAGGAGGATGACAAGTTCAAGCTTAGACTGACATAGACTGTCTCAAAAAACAAAACAAAACAAATGCTCTCAAGCAACCAAATGATTCAGTCTCCTTGAGCTCCTAGAGGCCTCTCCTTAATGCCTGCTCCCAGGCTGAGACTCACTGGTCCCTGACTGGGTCACATGCCTATTTCTAAGGCAATCAGCACAGCCAGCTAGAAAAATTGCTCAGATTGGGTGACCCCCAAATCCATCTGCCTAGACCTGAAGCCAACATGGCCCCAGTAAATCACATAATCTGAAGGGAGTGAGGCCTGGCTCCTAGGGGTACCAGACAAAACTCAGGCCATTCAGTTAAATTTGAATTTCAGATAGACAACAAAATTATTTTGTAGTATAATTATACCTATGCAATATTTGGGTTATATTATACTAATAAGTCATCTGTTTCTCTCAAATTCAAACTTGAGTGAATGATCCAGATTCTTTGCTGCCAAATATGGAAGCTCTGATGGCTCCCCAGAGAGGGCAAGAAGCTGCTGCCAGAGAAGAATGAGGTCTGGTGGGTGCAGGCAGCAGACCACTGCTTAGCGTTGCTGCCACCTGCCAAGTCCCAGTGACGGAAGAGCTCTGGCTTCAGACCCCGTACTGGAGGGCCCAGCCTGGCTAGCGACCAGCTGAGCTTCCTGGTCTTCCAGAGGCCCACTGCTGCGAAAGCCATACCCACTCAGGTCAAGCTAGAGGGTGAATGAGGAAAGCTGGGTCTCCCAGCTCAGGGCCCAGCTAGGTGGACTCACACCCTGAAGTTTCCATCCTTGCTACTATGACTACAGCATTTTTTTTAAAGTCAGGATCTCATTGATGAGAATTGAGAGAGGCATTAGTGTTCTCTTTACCCTTTGTTCTATGTTCCACGTGCCTTAGGTGTACAGGTTACATTGTAGATGTGTCTGGGTAATTCACAGACAATGTCTGTGTGACCAGTTGTGGGACTCTAATAATCTCCACTACAAAAGAAGCTTCTTTGATGAGTGGTGAGTGGGATGCTTGTCTGTAAATATAAGGGTCCATATTTTGCACATAATAGGAAATTATATTTGCCTAGGAATGTGACAGCCTTGGAATTTTCTCTGAGATCTATGTCTCCAACTATGTGTATTTGGCTAGGTTTACAGTACCACACATGAGTTTCTTCCATTGATGGGGCTTTAAGTCCAATTAGGTAGCTGTTGATTACCCTCAAGCTAAAAGTGCCACTGCTGCACCATTGTTGTTTGCTGTGCTGGTCACTGATGTGGTTATTAGGTCTTGAAGCTGGGGTTGGACCATCAATTGATGTTCTCCCTTAGCAGCTGGTGTAGTACTCTCCAAAGCTATGAAAGCTAGCCTTCAAGGAAGGTGACTTCCAGGTCAGATCCAGCTCCATTGCTCCAAATCCTATGTCTGAAGTATGTCCTGTCTTCAGCAACAGGGTCTTACCTTCAAGCTCTGGGAGGCAATCAAAGGCTGTAGCAAACCTGGTCAACAACTTAAAGGAAGGTATCTCCTTCTGGCACTGTTTCTTGTTATGTAGCCTTCAGCTATACACATGAACTCATGTAGAAACACTGTACGTGTAATTTGTCATTAGGTTGTTGGACTAATATGATTCCCTGTTCTTTTTATAATAGCTAGGCAATATTTATTTCTACTCTCTCTCTCCCTAACCCTCCCTCCAAACCCCATTTAAAGTATCCCCATTTTCTACATGTCTCCCTTGATAATTCCTGTCTGCTATGGTCTCACTTCTCTTGAGCTCCTTCTTGCCCTTTATTCCCATAGTTCCTTGTATAGCCCTCCCTCTCCCGCTCCCATTTAAATGCCTCCATTTCAAGCAACAGAGGGCCAGGAACACAAAAGGTCACAAATGGCCAAAGCATAGAGTGTAAGAGTTTGACGAGTGTGGGTTCTTGGACAGGACTCCTATATTAAACTCCATCCACCCAGGGTTCAGGGACCATTACAGAAGAGAGAGCAGAAAGATTCTAAGAGCCAAGGAGGAGGTGCATGGCCATATGGAAAAAGAGTACTACAGGCTCCTGGGACCTTGCTCATATGAACCTATAGCAATGGTGTCAGCATGCCCAAGACCAGTGCAAACTCAAGCAGACAAAAATGCTGTGAAAATGGGCAGCAGGTCCCAATTTTAGCCCAAGAACTATTGGGCAGCTGATTACTGCCAGGTGAGGAAGAGATGAACTTCTTAAAGGGAGGGACTCTAGAGCTGAACTTCTTAAAGGGAGAGACTCTAGATAGGGACTTCTTAAAGTTGACCCCAGTGGATGAACTTGCACTGAGGTACATCTGGGGACACTAATTTGACACAATAATCTGTTATTAACACAAAATGACAATGTATGAATTCTGGTGGGAAGGCTATGGGAGAGTACCAGTGGGGAACAGGGTACAAAGGTGATTAAGATGTTCTGTATGAAATATACAAAAATTCAATAAAAAGTTTAGAAAAAAATTTTTTTAAAGATTGGATCTCACTATGTAGCCCCATCTGGTCTGGAATTTGCTACATAGACCTGGTTGTCTTCAAACTCAAAGATCCACCTGCCTGTGTCTCCCAAGTGCTAGAATTAAAGGTGTATGCCACCACAGCTGGTATGACTACTGCATTTATTATTAGCAGTGGTCCTTGTCAACACACCCACTATCACTATTGCCATTATTAAACAACAGCTGTATTATATCAAGTACTTATCCATCATGTGCCAGATGCCATACTGAGTACTCTTATTATTTGTGTGTGTGGGGGAGGTGTTTTTGGTCATATGTGTCTGCACCCAAGTGCATGTGCATGTGGATGGAGGCCAGAGGTTAATGTTGGGTATCTCCCTTGATTGTTCTCCACCTTTGTTTGAGACAGGGTCTCTCACTGAAGCAGGAACTCACTGATTGGCTAGGATCTGCCTGTCTCTGTACTTGCCTTCCACCCCTAGTTCTTGGGTTACAGACCCAGGCCACTGTGCTCAGCTTTTTATGTAGGTTCTGGGGAGCTGAACTCAACTCATGCTTACAGCAAGCACTTTACCAACTGAAGCATCTCCCCTGCCCTCATACTGAGCACTGTTTAAGTCTCCTTTCACTTGATTCTCAAAACCAGGGAGAAATACTATCTCACTTTACAGGTATGTAAATTGAAGCCTGAAGAGGCAAAGGTACCCAAGGTCACTATTCTATAATTATTGCTATGGCTTGAACAGTTCCTCTGAAACTCATGGCAAAAATTAATCCTCAAATTCATATATTGGGCTGGGACTGTAGAGTGATAGAGTGTCCACCTAGCACACAGGCTGTAGGTTCAATTTCAACTATCAAAACAAAAAATTGCATGTTGATGGCATTTGGAGGTATCACAACTGGAAAGCAATTGCGAATTAAGTTATCAGGGTAGGTATTAGAGGTGTTTTAATTACATTTATTTATTTATGTGTGGATATGAGCACATCACAGCACGTGAGGACAACTTACGGAATCAGTTCTCTTTATACCATATGGGTCCTACAAAATGAACCCAGGTCGCCAGCCTTGGCAGCAAGCCCTTTTACCCACTGAGCCATCTTGGGGGCTTGTATTAGTGGCTTTATAAGTAAGGAAAGTTGCCAGATGTGGTGGCACATGCCTTTAATCCCAGATCTTGGGAGGTAGAGGCAGGCAGATCTTTGTGAGTTCAAGGCCAGCCTGGTCTACATAGTGAGTTCCAGGACAGCTGGGGCTACAGGGAGACCCTGTCTCAAAAAGACCAAAAAAAAAAAAAAGTAAGGAAAGTTTTCTCATCATGTGATGCACCTGCCATGTCATGACATCTGAATACCAACCCCTCAATCTTGGACTTCCCAAGCTCTAGAACTTTGAGCTAAATAAACCTGTTTGCTTGTTCTTTGGTTAGTTGGTTGGCTGGCTTTGAGACAGTATCTCATATAGCCCAGCTCTCTATGTAGCTGACCTTGAACTTCTACTCTTCCTGCCTTTACCTTCCCAAGTGCTGGGATTATAAATTCCATAGTGCCCGTTTATGCAGGGCTGGGAATAGAATTAGGGCTTCATGCATGCCTGGCAGCACTATACCAACTGAGCTACATCCCCAGCCCAGATCTCTCTTCTTTTAAATTACACAGACTATGACAGTCAGTTATAGCAACAAACAGCAAGGAGGTCAGTTTACCCTCTTGGCACCCATCGTCATAATATAGGACACTTCAGGAGCTCAGAGCTTTCATACTTGGGGCATCGTGTCTGATACTATGGGCAGGCAACACAATGATTACTATTTACTCCTGTTGGAGGCCTTCTATCACAAGTCAATTTGAACTGGCTTAAGCTACAAAGGGAAATCTTTTATGCTTGCAGGAAAAGTCCCATGAGTCCAGCAGTTGCCCACAAGGAGTGCCCTGGAGCTGGGGATGTCCCTCTTAACTAGGCCCACTTCCTGTACTGTACTTCTTAAATAACTTTTTACATACCTTGATGCAGTTCCAGCCACCTCAGCTCAGCACCCCAGAAGGAAGCTTTTTGGTGTCCCCCCAAAGCTGAAAGAGTGCAGCTCACTTGATCCTCCTGGGCCACATGTTTATCCCAAAGGGTCACTGTGACTAGGGATGGGAGATGATGACTGGCTGCCCTGGGAGAATCTGTGGAGGGAGGACAGTCCCTGGTCCCATAAGAGACTCTACCCAGAGATCCTTCCAAGCCATCTGTGGATGTGGGAGATGGGAACCACATGAATCAAATTGTGATCCTCATTGTTGGGGGAACAGTGAGGACCAGACTACAAGACGATGGCTCTAATGGACCTGTCATTAAGGCAGCTGTGACCCAGCAGCTCTCTTTCTCTGGATCTAGATGAGACAAGTGTTGCTCTACTCCTGTCCCAGGGCCTCAAGGAGACTTTTTAGGGTTAGAAACAGGCTGGCAGCCAGAGTGCCCGTGACATTCTATAATCCCCACTTCTCCAAAAGGGGAGCTAGATTACAGTGCTGGAGGACTATGAAGTGAACACTGGCTGTGTACTTACCACATACCATTGCCTCCACTATCTCCCAATGATCCTGATCTCCAAATGATCCTGAGTCCGGTACCATTAACAGATTAGGAAATGTGCCACAGAGATATGGAGTAACTTTTCCAAGATCACACAGCTAGGAGGTGGTAAAGTCAGCCCATCCTCTCCACAGCCTCACGGTTCCCATGTGTTCCAGCATGAAGGTCACACGTGTCCACTGCCAACAGTACATGTGACCTTTCAAGCTTCCAGCTCTCACTTCTTCCAGGTTAAGCTCCTTCCAGGGACAGTCTGTGATCTACCCCATGAGAAACCAAATACTTTTCTCAGGGCAAGGTCACAGCTGATAGTGTTGTCCAGGCTAGCCAAACTAGTTTCCAGGGTAAAAGGACAGTCCCAGTAAGGTACTAATCATGGTAGCCTCATGGGATGTGGGAGTGCTACTCCATAGGGTTACACAGCAGGCTAACCTTCTGGAATTAAGTGTCCTGACACTGTGTGCCTCCCAGGCCACATGCCACATAGACCATGTGTCTCACAGGTCGTACTCCTCCCACGCTGCACCAAAAAAGTTTCCTGGCACTGGGTTAAGAGTATAGATACTAATGGCCACCAGACTCAGTCTAAACCCCAGCTTGCCATATGGTAGTTGATTGGCTGTAGGAAGTCCCTAAACCTCTCCAAACTGGAGATAACTACCCATGCCTTCCAAGGCTATGGCAAGAAGTATATTGTAGCCCCTGGCCTTGGTGAGCTTAATTCTGACCAATGGCCCCCCTGCAAGACATTGCTGTCATTTCCATCTCCTTGCTAAGAAACAGCCAACATTAGGCAGACATGACTGTGCATGCCTCTAACCCCAGTGCTTGGGAGGCTGAGGCAAGAAGATGGTGAGTTTTGTTTTGTTTCGTTTTTTGGTCATTTTGAGGCAGGGTCTCCCTTGTAGCCCCGGTTGCCCTGGAACTCACTTTGTCACTATGTAGACCAGGCTGGCCTTGAACTCAGAGATCTACCTAGGGTATAGGCCAGTTCCTTGAGAGGCCGAGAGGAGGATCACAAGCTCAAGGCTTGTCTGGGTTACACAGGGCATTTGAGAACAGCCCGGGCAACTTAGCAAGATACTATCTCAAACAAATAAAAATGGCTGGTTTGTAGCTCAGTGACAGTGCTTACTTGTCATTCATAAAGCCAAGAATCTGAGCTCCAATATCTGATAAATAATAATAAATAACCAATTTTGTTCAGGGCAGCCACCAGCTCAGCCAAGGGAGTAAATCCTGGTTGCTCTAAGCCAGTGTTTCCCAGTTGGAGGTGAATTTCCCCTTCAGGTAATTCCTGAAGACATTTTTGGTTGTCTCAGTGAGAGCTACATTCTTGGTAGCTAGTGGGTAGGGCCCAGACTAATATATGGGACAACTTGGCAACAAAGTTATTTGCCTCAAAATGTCAATAATGGTAAGCTTGAGAACTGCTGGTTGTCATGGATTCTGTTTCCCACTTTCCCAGCATCCCTTGCAGCTAGGGACACACCTAGTGACCAAAAAATGTTCCATATGGTCTAGAGATCACCAGGGGCTGGTATAACAGTGCAACTTACCTGGTAGACCTCTCCCTCAACTTGGTAGAGGGGAGAGTCATGGCTCTCCAACCTCCTCCCTGTGGTCCTCTCCTGGGAACACAGCTCTAACGCCTACACTTGCCAAAGTCTCCTGTCGTGAGCATGGAACAGGTCACAACACCACAGGCTGGTCTTGCTCCCAACTGTCAGGTCTCTAAGTCAGTTCCAGAGCCCCTATCTGCTGACTTCTCCTTACTGACAAATGATTTCTTCTTGGCTACTCACTCAGATGATTTTATTCTCTATTACTTATAAACTAAATGTAGTCTTGACAGGTACAGATGCCACAGACCAATGAGGAAAAAAGATGAAATTCATATCATCCTCTAAAGTTAAAAAAAATGGAGGAAATTAAAAGCCAAAATCCTCACTGATCTGCCCCCACATCTCACCCAACTAACTTCCTGCTGCCCCTTCTCCAGCAGCTCTGGCCGACCCTGACCTCGGGCCCTGTTTTGCTATTTTAGGTGCTGTCCACCCCCTCCCACCTGCCACCTTCTCCTAGCATTTGCACTGCTAGTGTTCTTGCCTACCTGCCCACTGCTGCTTCCTCCCCATGGAGGGCTTTGTCCGTCCCAGCACTCAGCACTCAGGTATCAGGGAAAGGGAAGGAAACGGTCCTTTTCTCATTTCACAGTGTTCATTAAACACATTTTTAAGGTAAGATTTTTAAAAATCATCTGAAAAGTCCTCTCTAATAAACAATATACTTCTCATTTGCAGTCATTTCCCTGCTGAGACAGGGTCTCTATAGTCCAAACTGGTCTCACATCAATCTCCTGCCTCTGTCTCCCTAGTGCTGAGATTATAGATACACAATCATGCCATGCCTGGCTTATAACCTTTTTTTGGTTATACAGTAAAAAAAATAAAAGTAAAAATAAAAAGTATCTTAAAAGCATGCTGCCCCATCTCTGACAGATGCTGGGAATCCATCCTGAAAGTCCCCAAGGATGCTTCAGACAGCAGCCCTGTCCCTGTTTGAGGACCTTTTTCTCAGAATTGGTCAGTAATTCACTCCACGCATGGTGGCCACTGTGGCGGAGAGGCGGCGTGGCAGGCCTTTACTGAGCTGTCTGTACTCCTCAGGCTTGGCCTTCAAGAGCATCACGATGTTCTGGAGGGTGCGAGATGGCTGCAGGCCCAGGGCATCCATCACATTGATCAGATAGTCTGTGAGGTGGGGAGGAAACTGGTTCAGTGGTACAGTGTGTGGAATGCAGGATGGGGCCTCCCCAAATGTCAAGTGCTGCTCTACTCCAGCAGGTAGGCCTTACTGTGGGGTGCCCTTCTCCAACAGGGTCAAACTGGAATGTGGGCATGACCTGATTTCAGGAATTCTAATTTAATGAAGGATCAGCTGGCACTGCCACCTCCTACTCCCCAATTCCTATAACACCAGGGTGAAGGAAAACTATATTCCCCTGACAGCTCTGTACAAGGGCTCCTAGATTCCTGACCCCAGAGTATCCTTCAATATGTGGGAAAGCGAGGGGTTGAGACACACAAGTGCTTGTTTAAGATCCAAGCTTTTCTGGGGAACCTCACAATGAGCACAAGGCTGGTATCAGAGGCAGTACCCGGGATCATGCAGGTACTTTCCACCTAACCCTGGAAACTACTTAATACAGGTTTCTCAGCTCCAAACCACACCAATTTGAACGCCATGGTCAAGAGAGACCTCTGGGGGTCTGTCATTCTAAAAAGCAGCCCAGGATTCTAATCACCTGACAACTCAGACAGCACTGACAGAATGGAGAAAACCGGTTGCAGCAGGAATGCCATCCTTCCACTCTATCAGCCTCTGCCTCCACTTACCCATGCAGTCAATCCCCACCAGGGAGCAGGAATGGGGATTAGATGGGACAGGACTCAAAAGCGCTCTGGTGTTGGAGGTAATGAGTGCCTGAGTGCCTAGGGCTATCTTTCCTTTCTCTTTCTGCTCGAAGGTCTGGGAGGGGGCAGTACCACCTGGGCTACCCTCAGGCTTCTTACTCTCTGGCTGTTGCCTGGATTTATCTCTTACCCATCTTCTTTGTGAGGCCTAGTATGATGGTAAGCCTGGAGCTGGCAACTGGGAGGCCATGTCTACCAGGACACTGTGTTTGACTAGCAGTGTTTCATGCTGTTGTGTTAATGTTTAATTTAACTGTCTCTCATGCTTTGCCATAGACCTCACTGTTCTCTCCTCTGGCATACTGGCACCTTCCTGGCCCTTAACCTTACTTCCTTATGCTGAAGGCTCAACAGGCAAAGGAACACTAAATCCCTGCTGCACTTATCCCTTAGTACTACAGGTAGCACACAGTAGGTGCTCAAGCAGTACTGAGTGAGTAAACAGGGATGGAGGAATAACACAGACCACTGAACTTAGGGGCAATCCCAGAATCTCAGGCCCCCAGTTGGTTTTATCGCATGCTCCTGCTTGTGCTAACTGGAAATACCAATGGGCATTTGAGTTTCCTCATCTCTTGTCTCTGAATGCTGGTGCCTAGGAAAATGGCCAAAAAGCTGGTGGCTCCTCTAGAAGAGCCAAAGGCAGTCTGAAATAAGCATAGGCTGAGGATCAGGGTGGCTGGATTGTAGGCTGGCCCCATCACTAACCACTCTGGAACCCCAAGGGCTGATCCTTGCTTCTAATTCTTCTGGGGCAAAACAAACAGGAGTAGGGCCTGGCTCAGCCCTGTGGCCACCCAGGTCACAGCTCAGGCTGGGTTCCTGGGGAGCTGATTGTTAAGGCAACTCCACCCTCTCTCCTGACCACTCAAAACCCCAGGAGCAGGGAGTAGGGAGGACATGCCCTCTGACCTGGGGGCAGGACAGCATTCTGATGGGGACCATTGAAGGACCCTAGCTACAACAGCACCTACCTCACAGGATTGCATAACATAATGGGTGCATGCTTGCTTTGGTGCCTGGCACGTGTGGTATGCAGTAAGCACTCCATAATCTATCCATCGTTAGATTAGTAATTACTATGTCAGTGAACAAAAAGACCAGGCAGAGCCAGGCTGCCTCTTTTACTGCATCTCATTGAAGCCTCCTTGATGGTTCTCTAAATTTATAGCCTTCCAGAATCCCTGGGGCCAGTGTTCCAAATGCACCCAGGCTCCCTGGGGTGGGTCTGAGGAACTTGCATTTCTATCCAGTTTCATAGTTAACTACAGAGTTAAAGTTATGAGGAGTTTTGGAGTAATGTTCCCGGAGGCCAAGGGAGAAAACGGCAGATTCAAGACCCCCAACTCACTGCACTTGGTCAATGGGCACTCACCAATGTCTGTGGCCAGCTGCTTGGTGGAGTGCGGGGTCAGCTCTGGGATCTGGAGGATCACGTCACAGTAGGTCTGCATGGTGGCTCTGGCAATGGAGCCCAGCCAGTTATCGGCCATATTGTCTAGCTCAGGCAGTTCATCCCCTGAAGGAGCAAGGAAGTCAAATGAGGAAGGCAGAACCTGCTCAGAAAGTCATCTCTCAGGATGCCCAGGCCCCACTAGGGCTAATGTGCCAGGGAACTGATGGGCTCAGTGGGAAAAGACATTAGAATCAGAGAAGAAGGAACCTATAGGTCCACTGGTACTGACCAGGGACAGTAGAGTTCAGAAAGAGGTAACCTGGTGTGGCCAAGGAGCCTGAGTCCCCACAAACCTGGGAACCAAGTTAAGCCTGGAGGCCAGAACTTTGACAGGCAAAGGGGGGCACCTAGAGAGATGAGAGAACCAAAGCAGAAGTTAAGAAGCAAAGAGACGATGTAAAAGACAGGTGTTATGCTGGAACTAGGACAGGGGCTTAAGGCAACTCCATCTCTGAAGACCTGAGGACTCCCAGCCTCTCTGAAACTGCTTGTCATTGGCACTGAGGAAACTAGAGCCCTGGCTTCACGGAGCTGCTGTAAGAATCACAACCATACGTGAGGGCTTTCCAAAATGGTTGAAAATGAGAAGCAAAATGAGCTAGAGACCAAAGCTGAAGGAGATAGCCCATGTCGGGGAGATGAGGAGTCCAAACCAAGACAGTGCAAGGCACAGAAATGAGGGGCTGTCTCTGGGGAATCACACAAGTCCTGATCTACCAAGGACCTGCTGGATCTGGGCAGTGTGGATTGCTGGTGGCCCTGTACTGAACATACTCTGGCCATGAAGAAGCACAGTGAAACCAGCAGCGCAGCAAAGGCCACTCAAAGATTTGTGTAAACAGAATCCAGGTTAAGGTTGCTACAGAGGCAAATGGGTCACAGGGGAGGGAAGAAAGCATTCAGAATAAAGGGCACAAAATTTGTTTATAAGAAGTGCCCAGCCCAGCACTCTGGAGGCAGAGGCAGGAGGCTCTCTGTGAGATTGAGACCAGCCTGGTCATCATGGTAAGCTCAGGCCTGCTGTCTCAAAAAGACCAAAAACAACAACAACAAAAAAAAAAAAACAGGAGAACTGAGGATATGGTTCAGTTGGTAGACTGCTTGCCTAGCATGAATGAGGCCCTGGGCTTGGCTTGATCTTCAACACCACAGAAACCGGATGTGGTGGTACACACCTACAACCCTAGCACTTGTGAGGTGAAGGTACACACCTATAATCCTAGCACTTGTGAAGTCAAGGCCGGAGAATCAGGAACTCAAGATCATCATTGGTTACATTGAGTTTGGGGCCAGCTACACAAGACCCTCTCTCAAACAAGTATCCATAAATGAAACTCATCATTTTCAACAAGAAATATATGCTAATATTAACAAGTCTACCCTGAGTTTGAGGCCAGCCTGGGCTATACTGAGAGTATAAGGCCAGCCAAGGCTACATAGTAAGACCTTGTCTCAAAAACCAACCAAACAAAAACTATGATAAGGCATATAGGAGAGAACTGTATTTGTGAAAAGGGACTTGACTGCAGACAAAGTTCCTAACAGGTCACCAGTTGTCACCTCAGTGTGGCAGATTACTTTGTAGTGCTTATTTGTTTGCTTTTGAGAGAGTTTACCTATGTAGCCCAGACCAGCCTAGAACTCAGGAGGCTAAGGCAGAAGGAGCTCAAGTGCTAAGATTACAGGTGTACCACTATGACCATCAGAACAGTTTATTTTTAATCAAAATGAGATACTGTTTTTAAATTAAACCCCTTTATGCATGAGTGTGTGCATACACAAAGAGCAAAGGAGGCGAGGGCAGGAAAAGTGGCAACAGAGACAATGAGGCCTCAAAGCGCTATCTAGACCAAGGACAACTTTTAGTTGTGTCTTGTCTTGGTGGGGGCATCAAAGGTTTCTAAGCACACAAGGTACACTCAGTAAGATGGATAGGAAAAGAGCCAGGAATCAGAGGCAAAACAGACAGAACCCAGGCAAGAAGCTTCCGGAAGGAAGGCGTTTAACACCCAGGTCGATGAAGGGCTGGACTCAACAGCATTCAGATTTTGCCTTTGCTCTTGACCCTCCTGGAGGTCATTCCCAGTCAGTCTTTCCTGAGTCACAGGGCTGCTGTGTGGGCTCTGGCCCACTGTGGACATCTCTTGGGGCTCTGCCACACACAGCAGAGCTCCTCAGGGTCTATGCCTGTTCACAGAGGCACGTGAGAGGAGACTCTCCAAGTGGGAGCCCCAGGATGGGAGCTGCTTCCTATGGCCCCCAACCCAGGCCACAGTGAGACCCCTCCACAGGGCACAGCCATAGCACTCTTAGCCTCGGCCCAAGTCAGGACTCCTGCCCCCACCAGCCGGAACCTGGGAAGGCTACTCAACCAGACTGGTGCATGTGTGTGACAGAGAGATAGAGATACTCTAAGATACTTTAACTCACCTGAATTTTAGCTCCCTTGTGTACAAAGCAATTGCAAAGGTTTTTATTTTATTTTGGTTTATTTATTGTTTGAGAAAGGGTCTATGTAGCCGTGGCTGGCCTGGAACTCACTATGGAGACCAGGCTGGCCTCCAACTCACAGAGATCCACTAGTATCTGCCTCCCAAGTGCTGAGATTAAAGGTATGTGCTACCATATCCAGCTTATTTTGGTTTATTTACTTGCATGTATTCAAAAAAATCAGAAGACAATTGTTGAGAGTTCTCTCCTGCCACCTTGTGGGATCCAGGGATCAAATTCAAGTTGTCAGGCCTGAGCACAAGCATCTCTACCCATTGAGCCATCTTGTGAACCCTTGCCAAGGTTTTTGCTTTGTTGTTTGGTTTGGTTTGGTTTTGTCTGTTCCGCTCCCGTTCCCGTTCCTGTTCTGTTCTGTTCTGAAGACAGGATTTCCCTGTAGCCCCAGCTGGCCTGGAACTGCTATGTAGACCAGGCTGGCCTCAATCTCAAAGAGATCCTCCTGCCTCTGCCTCCCAGGTGCTGGATTAGAGGTGTGTGCTACCATTTCCAGTGTCCTTGCCAAGGTTTTTAAACCCCACCATACCTCTCAAGAAAAGCACTTTCACTGTGAGGTGTGGTGGTGGTGGTGTGCACATACAATCCAAGCACTTGATCTAGTCAAGTGTTTACAAGTTCCAGGCCAGCCTGGGGTACACAGCAAAAGCCTGTCTCAAAAAACAAACAAAAATAAAAGAGAACGGCTGATTACCTAAGTCAAAAAATCTCTAAAGGTTGTTCACTGCACTGCGTCGATTTTTGTTGTTGTTGGGGCTTTTGTCATTGTTTTGGTTTTGTTACCATTTAAGTGTTTTGAGACAGATCTACCTATACAGCACAAACTATCCTGGAACTTGACTGAATTTGTGATCCTTCTGCCTCTGCTTCTTGAGTGCTGGCATAACAGGTACGCACCATCAGGCCCAGTACCACCTGGTTCTTAAAACCATTAAGATGCTAGAAATAACCAGATTATATATGGATGATCACTATACAACTCTTTCCAATTTTTTGAGAGGCTAGTGGGATGGCTCAGTCAGTAAAAGCACTTGCTATGAAAGCCTGATGACCCAGGTTCAATATCTGGAACCTACAGTGGAAGGAGAGAACCAACTCTTGAAAGTTATCCTCTGACCTCTGCATGTAGAACTATAGAATACCTGCACCCACACTCATACATCTGAACCACACACACACACACTTAAACAGTTTCTTTTGGCTGAGGATATAGCTCAGTGGTAAAATGTTTGCTTAGCACACTCAAGGTCCAAGAACCAATCCCCAACACCACCAAAGAAGAAAAAGAGAAAGAAAATTACAAGAAATATTTCTGGGCATGGTGGCACATGTCTTTAATCCTAGCACTTTGGGAGTAGAGGCAGGAGCATCAGGAGATCAAATTATCCTTAAATACATAAAGTAGCCTGGGCTACATGAGATCCTGCCTCAGAAACAACAAAAAATGATTTTCATAATCAGACACTGACAGATGGAACAACAACAAAAACATCAACTGTCTGTTGTTGATACTGTTATATTCTCAACTGCAGGGACATACTTTGTGGCTGGGCCACCCTAACAATTTCCAACCCAGTGCGCAGCACAAAGTAAACAACTAGTAAGCCTGTGTTAAATAAGGAGAACAATCACTGCGGCCAAGGAGAGTTCAGGGGAACAAGACAACACTATGTCTCCTGATGCCACACACAGGCCATAAATACAGCAGCAATTTTCTTGCCATGGAGCCTGAACCAGTTTTCAATCCTCATCAGTGAGACACACGCTGAAGCACCTATGGGGAAACTAAGATGACACCTGAGGTTGGATTTTAACAGGCCGGCAAAAAGGGTAAGTGCAGTAGAAAAACAAGGGCCGATTCTTACAGCTGAGTTCATGGATTTAAAATTCCTATACAAAAGGTTTGACGTTTTTAAATTTGCACTGTATTTATGGGAACAATAGATAAAACTCAGTGGTAGATGCAAGCTTAGAACACACAGGCCCTGAGTTGGATCCCTAACACCAAAAAGTTACATAAATACATGAATGAAAATACAAAGTATGCTGGGCATGGTGGCACATGCCTTTAATCCCAGCACTTGGGAGGAAGAGGAAGGCAAATCTCTGAGTTCCAGGCCAGCCAGGGGTACCAGATATGTGCCTGCCAGTGGCCAGGAGCTCCCACATAGCCCTGCAGGCAGACATACCCAAGTCCCAGGTGACCAGGTCTCCTGCCCAGCAGCCTTTCCCCTCACATGTGCTTCCCAATGTGCTGCGTAGCTTTAGCTGTACCGTCCTTTCTGGCTTGTTTTTCCTTTGTAATAACGTGGCTGTGATATTTCTCTATGTCAGTATATGCAGGTCTAATTCAGTCTTTTTTGTTTTTTTTGGGGGGGGTTGTTTTTGAGACAGAGTCTTGTGTAGCCCAAGCTGACCTCAAATTCTCTATGTAGCACAAGCTACAAAGGGTAAGTACACTGTCACTTTTACTAGCAATGACACTGAAGGGCATGACTATGACAAGTTCATTGTGTGACCAATTGTTTTTAAAGATCTATTTGATTTTTTTTTTTTTTTTTTTTTTTTTTTTTTTTTTTTTTGGTCTTTTTGAGACAGGGTCTCCCTTTAGCCCCAGCTGTCCTGGAACTCATTATGTGACCAGGCTGGCCTCAAACTCACAGAGATCCACCTGCCTCTGCCTCCCAAGTGCTGGGATGAAAGGCGTATGCCACCATACCTGGCTTATTTGTATTATTTTTAATTTTGTGTTCTGTGTGTCTGTATTGTGGGTATGAGCATATGAGTGCAGGTGCCAGAGGCACTGGATCCCCAGAGCTGGAGTTACAGGCAGAACCAAATTTGGGTCTTCTATAAGAGCAGTACACACTCTTGGGGGTGGAGAGATGGCTCAGCAGTTAACACTAGCTGTCTTGCAGAAGACCCAGGTTCAAATCCCAGCACCCACTTGGCAGCTAACAACTGTCTGTAACTCCAGTTCCAGGGGATCCGACAGCCTTTTCTGTCCTCCACAGGCATTGCACGACATGGACACACTTACCTACATGCAGGCAATACATGCATACACATAAAAGTAAATAAAATATTAAAAAAAAAAAAGCAGTACACACTCTTAACAGCTGAGCCATCTCTCCAGCCCTGTGGGATCACTTTTTGTTGTTGTTGTTGTTTGGTCTTTATGAGAAGGACTCCCTGTAGTCAACCTGGAACTCACTATGTAGACTAAGCTGGCCTCGATCTTACAGAGATTCTCCTGCTTCTGCCTCCTGAGTGCTGGGATTAAGTGCACCACCAGGCCCAGCTGAGACCAATTTTTAAATCAACAGAAAATAACCCTTTGGTGTCATTGATGTAAGTCCAGTTTCCTCTTCCAGTCACTCTTTCTTTTCCCTTGTACTCACATGAAAACCCTTTTAGCATTCCTTCACTTTAACCTTCCTGACTGATTTTATCTTCATTGTGCCAACTCCCTATGAGCTACTGAATCCTTTACACACCAAGAGGTTTTTCTTTACTCAGAAAATATTCAATATTAGGAGTTAAGATGATTTTTGATCAGTAAGTATGTATCCCCTATTCAACTGTCAGACCCTAGTAACAAGAAAAAATTAAGCATTTAAATGCACTGCAGTTCTCCCCTGTGAGTTTGAGATCCAGGAACTGAAAGGAGGCACAAGAAAGGGGCAAGCAGAGGTGTCTGGACAGAACAGGCTGCCTCTGTGCTCAACAACTGCTTTTGGCAACAAGCAAAACTGTTCTCACTGGTCCCTTACTAGTTGTCAGAGGGCCGAGGGAATGAGCACTCGGTAGGACCTTGGCTGGGAGCTCATTACCACTACTAAATGCCAAGGTCCCTGGGTATTCTACACACTGCCTCCCCAGCTGTGGGTAACAGTAGGCTCCCTGCAGGATTCTCTGCCCTGTTCCCATGGCACTCTGTACAGATCAAAGTAAAGAGCTTTTTTCTCTAAACCCGGCCCTACAGGAGTTCCTCAGATGGTGCAATAGGTGGGTCCCAATCTTTTTTGGTCTCACATATACATGTTTTCTTTTGATTTTTTTTTTTTTCAGTTTTTTTTGAGACAGGGTCACCCTGTAGCCCCAGCTGACCTGGAAATTGCTATATAAACCAAGTTGGCTTCAATCGCAGAGATTCACCTGCCTCTACCTCCTGCGTGCTAGGATTAAAGGCATGTGCCACCAAGTCCAATTTCATTTGATTTTTTAAAGTATTTTATTATTTGTATTTTATGTGTATTCCTTGCATGTATGTAAGTGTACCCATGTCATGCAGTGCCCATGGAGGTCAGAAGAGGGCATCAGATTCTCAAACTGAAGTTACAGATGGTTGTTAGCCACCATGTGAGTGCCAGGAATTGAACCTGGTTCCTCCACAAGAGCAGCCAGTGCTCTTAACTGCTGAGCCATCTCTCCAGCCCTGATTCTTTCTTTTTTATAGAAAGTCTCGGGGCTGCACTTACATACACATAGGTAACACACTCATACAAATAAAAAAATAACAAAAAATTTAAAAAAAAAGAGAGGTCTTACTCTGTAGTTCAGACTGACCTGAACTATGTAGCCCAGGTTGGTCTCAGTCTTGCAGTGGTTCTCCTGCCTCAGTCTCCTATGTGCTGGGATTACAGGTGTCTGCCACCAACCAAGCTTTCCCATTCTACATATTGACAAGTACTTGGTGGGAATTTAGGGTGACAGAATTGACAAGGTACTGAGGGTTAAAACTAGACCCTTATGTCTTATATGGCACATATTGCTCCCTGGACAGTAGATATAGTGGCTCCCTGGTCTTCTCACCTTGCTCAGGAGGAAACGGGAGCTTCCCAGCATGCAAGGCCAGCTCCAGGGCAGAGTCCTCCTGAGTCACAAATGGTTCAAGATTCAGGGGCAGGGACATGATGTATTGCCCGATCTGAAACAAAAGAAAGCACTTTCAGCTGGATGCAGACACACCTGTGATGACTCGTGAGGTTCATTTGCGTGAGAGACAAAATTGCTGGGCCTGGGTTGATTGCCAGTGTGTGGTAATACTAGTGATGACTACACCTCAAAAGAACCAATGGAAGGTCTCTGAGTTCTACCCTCAGCACCTATATAAAAAGCCAGGCGTGGTGGTGCATACTTGTAATCTCAGGGCTGGGGAGAAAGATAAGTGGATCTCTGGGGCTCATTGGCCAGCCAACCCAGCCAAATCAGGGAGCCCCAGACTCTGTGATTGATTCAAAAACAAAATGCAGATAACAACTGAGGAACACTTATGGTTGACCTCTGACCAACATACACACACACACAAAATGGAGCCTGCTCAACACTGTAGAATGAATGTACATTCATTCTTCACAGCACTTACTCCAAGGGGCTGGAGAGATGGCTCAGTGGTTAAGAGCACTGACTGCTCTAGCAGAGGACTGGGGTTCAATACCCAGCACCCACAAGGCAGCTAACAACCATCCATAACTCCAGTTCCAGGAGATCCAATGCCCTCTTCTGACCTCCGTGGGCATTGCACAACATAGTACACTTACATACATGCAGGCAATACACTCATACACATAAAAAAATAAAAATAAGATATTTTTAAAAAGAAATTTGTTGCTGAGATTAAGTATAAAAACACTCAGCATAGCACTAGCAACACATTAAGTGATCACTAAACTAATGGCTTTCTGAACTTGAATGCAGAATCACAAACACATTGTTCCCCTGAATGTTCATAGAAAAGCTGGATGTGGGGCTGGAGAAATGGCTCAGTGGTTAAGAACACTTGCTGTTCTTCCAGAAGACCTGAGTTCAATTCCCAACACCCACATGGAGGCTAAAAAATGCCAGTAATTCCAGTTCCAGGGGATCCAACACCCTCTTCTGGCCTCTGTGGGCACTGCACGCACATGGTGTATTTATATGCAGGCAAAACATTCAGACACATAAAATTTAAAAATAATAAAATATTTTTTGAAAAAAGAAAAGCTGGGCCGGGTGTGGTGGCACACACCTTTAATCCCAGCACTTGGGAGGCAGAGGCAGGTGGATCTCTGAGTTTGAGGCCAGCCTGGTCTACATAGTGAGTTCCAGGACAGCTGGGGCTATGGGGAGACCCTGTCTCAAAAAGATACCCCCCCCCAAAAAAAAAGAAAAAGAAAAGCTGGGCATGATCTCAACACTCAGGAGGAAGTGGCAGGCAGACCTCTGTAAGATCAGGGCTAGCCTGGTCACCTAGCAAGTTCCAGGCCAGCTGGGGATACAGAAAGACACTGTCTTAAAAAAAAAAAAAAAAGTCAGAGAAAAGAATTTGGCCACCTGGTTTTTGATTTCCAAAGTCTGATTTTCCAACTGAACTGTGAATTCTGATGTCTCATCAGAGGGGACATCTGGCCCATCTACAGTGGGAGAGCAGGACGGGGCCGGGGCGATGTTGTAGTGTCTGAAATCATTTGGGGCTCTGCTACATTTGCTCAGTGCCCAGCATCTGAATGAAGTATCCCAAACCAGGTCCATGAAGCACTGACCAGCTAACAGCTATTTCACCTAGAAGGGGCAGACTCAAAAGACAAGGCGAGGACTGATAGATTAAAAATGTTGGGATGGAGAGGTGGCGGATGGAGGAGGCACCGAGGCACAGATGGAATTCTTAGCGGGATACAGATTTATTTTGCACAGGGCACCTTTCCCTCAGGGAAGGGAAAGATGTCAGGGAAGGGAAGGGTGTCAGGGGAGGGGAGGGGAGGGGAGGGGAGGGAAGGGAAGGGAGGGAAGGGAAGGATGTCAGGGAAGGGAAAGATGTCAGGGAAAGATGTCCACCCACGGGTTGTGAGCTGGGACTTTATATATGGGGGCTTTAGGGTGTGGAAGGGGGGAATGTTTGGGGGAGAAATCAGGGAGGGGGAAGCAGGAAAAGCCTGGCTCCATTCAGTCTGCCAGGTGGGATTAGGGTCTGGAAGTGTTTACTTTTTCTCTCTTAAGATAAGAGAAAAGCTTGTTGTGATAAACAGCTTCTAAAATCTCTGGTTAACAGGTAGAATCTGTTTATCTTATCTTTGGAGATCAGAGGAGAGGCAGGCTGCTTCTCAGCAGAGTTTGTTTCCCTTGACTCCAAAGGTCAAGGTGAGGCCCCTGTTGGGGAGGGGGGGAAACTGCTGCTATTTGGAACCCTTACAAGGACCACCCTGGAGAGGCACCCAGCTCTTACATTGCTGATGTACTCTAGAGGGGTGAGGCTGAAGGCAGGCAGATCGTCTGTCAGGGTTTCACCAATGCCAGCTGTGTTCCAGCTCTGGAGGAGGAAGGAAAGGAAGCAATCAGCAACATACCACCAGGCGGTCCCAGAAAGCACCCCATGTAAGTGCACAGACAGCATGGCCCTTCCTGGAGGCATCATCAGTGGTTAGAGCAGATCTGTGGGCCTGCCATCAGCTAGCAGGCCAGAGACTTCTCTTTGAATCTAGTGGAAGCCCACCATAAGGAGTAAACACCCAACTCCCATCCCAAGTATGAGCAATACAGTTCAACTACCAAGTTAATGCTGATCCCTTTTGTTCATCTCACTAAGGGTATGGAATGAGCTGGGTATCCCTAGGTCTGAGTTTATATGATGGGTAACCATGCAAAAAGCTGCTAGACACAGGTGGCCCCACTAACTTTGGCCTTCAGTACTCTGAAAAGGATGGGACCCTCTGTGTTCTTTCTCAAGAGATTGCATGAAGGCCACTCTTAGAGAGGATCTGGAAGCCCTCTGCTGCAAGGGACTGCCCAGCCTCACTCACCAAAGTCACACTGCCTCAACTGAAGCTACTTTGATTTCCATCTGCTTTCTAGAACTCTCAACTGACCCAGAGTTTGGAGAAAACTGAACAACTGCTTTCTGTATACCATGTGGTCACCCATGTAGGGAGTCTTGTTTCCTCAAATAACTTTGAGAACAGTGACCAAGCCTACCTAACATGAGACACCACATCCTGGGTACTCAGTAAAGATGAGTGCGTAGATTGTTGCTTTAAAGTAGAATCTTGTGGATGTAACTCCGTTGGTAGAGTGTTTGCCTAGCATTCATAAAGGCCTAGGTTCGATTCGCAGCATCACATGAGCCAGGCATGATGATGCATGACAGTTATCCCAGACTTCAGAAGGTGGAAGCAGGAGGATCAAGAATTCAAGGTTGCCAAGTGTGGTGGCGCACACCTTTAATCCCAGCACTTGGGAGGCAGAGGCAGGCGGATCTCTGTGAGCTCAAGTCCAGCCTGTTCTACATAGTGAGTTCCAGGTCAGCTGGGGCTACAGGGAGAGCCTGTCTCAAAAAGAATCCCCCCTAAAAGTTTCAATTCAAAGTCATGCTTGGTTACATGGCAAATTCAAGCCAGACAGGGATTTCTGAGATCTGTCAAAAAAAAATAAATAAATAAAGTGGACTGGGAGTAACTGGAGGCAAAGAAGGATATTTTAAATAAAAGGATTCTCAAGTGAGAACAAGGAATCTAGAAAACTGAAGGAAGGATGGGGAGGAAAAGAACTATCCAACAAAGAAACTGAGAGTGAATCAAGTTGGCAATTAGACATGGAGAGGCCTGCTGCAGCTCAACCTGGGCTGGGAGCCCAGGGTCGGCTTGGTCATTCCGTTCCCGGAATGCTACTTAAAGGATCAAGCAACCGGATCGGGCATCAGGTTGCTGCAGAACAGTCAGACTGTGACCTCAAAGGTCATTCCTGGAGGCCAGTGAGGAAGGGCCTTGTTCTCTAGGCTAGAATTGAGAAGCTGGGTTTCCTTGAAAGGTGTGCCAGGCTGAGGCTGTGAACACATGAGTGATAGTGGGTTACCCGTTTACAGGCTGCCAGGAAGCTCAGGCAGTGACACGGAAGATATTTCCATTTTAAACAGCAAGGTGGTCATATGGGGGTGTTCTCCACCCCATCCCTCCAGCTTCATCTCTCTTTCCTCTCGTGTGTACACAAGCAAGCTGTCACTGAGGGCTCTGTGTCAGGTGCAATGTCTCATGCAGCAAGGGGTCAGGGTGATCAGAGGAGTCAGCCACAGGATGGAGGCAGGGAGAGATGCCAAAATGAGGCTGGAGGAAGAATGCACAGCTTTGCACACGAGGCTAGGAAAAAAGCACTACCTTCAACAAATTCCAAGGGAAAAAAGAAGGGAATAACAGAAGTAAAGGGAGGCAAGGAGGGTGGAAAATCTGTAGTTCAAGATACACAGAAGATAATCCCACTGCACAGGGTCCTGGGTCCTGGTTCAAATAGTGGCATTTATAATACAACTGGAAACTGAACACTGATGAGTGATAAGAAACATTTTGGAATGGGCAGTCAGATGGCTCAGCAGAAAAGGCACTTGCTATGCAAGCCTAACAACCTGAGTTCAATCCCTGGAACCCAAGAAAAGGTGAAAGGAGAGAACTGTCTCTACAAAGTAGTCCTCTCACATCCACTTGCACACTGTAACACATGTGCACCTGCACTTACACATCATATATACACATACACAACAAAATAAATAAAATACATTTTGAAAAGAAATTGTTTTTGTCTTTTTAAGGGTGATTAATGCACTGCGATTATTTCTTATGTTGTAGATGAGGGATACTGTAGATAAAGCAGAGTGGCCTAGAGCTGGCCATCATGGAAGCAGAATGAGGAATAAATGGAGTTCTCAGTCCTCATTTCTCTACATCTGTGTGTATAATAAAAAGACTTTAAAAGCAGACTCTCGGGGTGGCCTGTGAAATGCTCTATGAAACTGCACACAGCAGCCCCTCTGAGGAGGACTGGAATGGGGAGGGAGTTTTAAAATGTTCAGAGATGGTGGAAACCTGAACTAGGCAACAGTCACAGAAGTGGAGCAAGTGGGTGGGAAATGGCCCCCAAAGGCCTAGCAGTGATACTGTGGAGCAGGACAGGAATCAGAAATGGCACGAGGCAAAGATAAGCATTACTGACATCCACTGAGAGGACAAATGCTATGGACTGAGCCTGGGAAGGGCTGAGAGGAGGCAGGAGCCTGGGGACAACAGGGTCAGGTATAGGGGAAGGAGTACAGTGGGAAACGGGCAGACAGGTGGCCTGAAATGGGCTTTGAAAGACAGGTAGGAAAAACAAGCTTGAAGAGGGCAACACGGAAATGGTAGAGATGATTTGATTGTTCAGGATTTATTTAAACTGCCCTTCAAATGGGCTTTTCTATCTATCTGTCAGCAGGTAATGTAGGTAAAGGTCAATACTCTATTCTGAATTGAATATAGTGTTGGTTTATAGTCTTATGATACAAAGGAGCAATGCAAATTACCAGCAAATGTTTAACACAAACATCTAGTGATCAGGGTTTAATTTTCAAATCCTTTAGGCCCAAGTGTTTGCCTTTGTATTGTGCTGGGTGCTGGCTCCCACAGAACTCCTCCTAATCTCCAAAGCCTCATCCTAGTGGCCCAGGGTTTCAGTAAAGCCTGAAAAAAGTGGAGATCCCAGCAATGGGGCACTGAGTCATAGTAATGAACACTGGAATGCAGAAGGAGAGGCAAAAAGACAAGGTGGAGCACTGTGTCTTTCAACGTTGAATTGAAACAAACAGCTGGGAGGTTTCAGAACAGGTATCAGAACCACAGAAAGGAAGAAAACGATCACATATTAAACACCCCTTTGTGCCCAGTTCTATCATTCACTATCAATATGATGAGAACTCCTAGCCTCATAGTTCACAGAGGAATGAACAGCCTCAGCCTTGGGATGCCACAAGCCAAAACACAGAAGATCATTCGGCACAGCAAGCTGTCAGGCATCTATATCACCTCTGCTGCAGCTCCTCACGGTGTTGTCCTCTCAAGTGCTTGAAATGCAAACAGCATCTTGCAGTGAAAATCAGAGTCCCAGAGTAGAATAAACCTCAAAACCATGTAGTTACATGAAGTAATTTTATGGACAGAGATTCTGGGACCCAGAGAGGAGCAGAGAATTGAGCAGAGACAAGGTCATGCTTTAGACTCCCGGTCTCACACACTTTCGAGAGGGCAGCAGAAAGCAAAGGCCTTGCAATCATACATTATGAGTTCTTGCTGCTTCCTTAAAGGATCTGTTCTCTATAAGAGGCTCATAAATGAATCTTTCCCAAGCAACTATTCCACAAGAGTGAAATCTAAATAGACTTGAACTAGTCAGATAACTAACCAGGGAGCTGTCTAACCCAAAAGCAAAGCAATGAGATCTGGACCAGAGAAGACAGAACAAATGGAGACCATGCGACTGCTAGGCAATGCCTCCAGAGGGAACTGGAAGAGAAGAGGGTATAAGACGAGGATGGCAAGATGACCCCCAACAGGCAAACAGAAAAGGTATCAAGGAAGGAAAGCAGCAGAACCTAGTGAGATGTAGTGGTACATGCCTGCAGCAACAGTACTAAGAGGCTGAGGCAGAAGGAACATGATTTCAAGGCCAGCCTGAGCAATATGGCAGGGTGGGAGTGGGGAGGGCAGAGGGGGGCAGAGCAGTCCAAACCCCTCCAAAACACAGGATCAAACTGAATAAGGCACTCTCCCAACTAAAGTTCCAGAACCAGAACTATTTCCTGTGGGACAGGAACAATTCAACCTCAAAAGACAATGAGCTTTTCTGACCAAGGCTAAAAACAGCACATAGCCTCCCTTACTCCTTGAGAAGGTGGATGAGGCCCTGCAATGGGAAAAGTGAATAAGCAATATCAAGCATGGTAGTTCACATCTGTACTCCTAGCACTAGGAGACTGAGGCAGGAGGATGGTGAGTTCCTGGCCAGCCTGGACTACACAGTAAGACTCTGTCTCAAATACTGAAAATCATCATCTTCTTAGGAAACAACCTACAGATAAAGTATCTGAGTAATTACAATTTAGATGAGAAATTCATGCTAAATCAGAGCTAAAAATTACAAAGTAACCCTGCTGCCTACAGCAGCCAAAGCTGTTTGTTCCTGAAGCTCAGGGTGGGGAGGGATGACTTTCCCCAGGTAGGCCTGAGAATATGCAGGACCTGGGAGTAAAGACACTGGTCAGGGGGAACTCACATCCATCTTGGAAACGAGCAGCAACTGCTGTTTGATGCGCAGGAATACCGAATCAAAAGCCAGCTGGTGGGCCTGCTGGTTCAGCCGGGTCAGGGCTGCTCGGGATGCAGCCAGCAGGTTGTGATTACTGGACCCCTTCTCCTAAGAGAAAAAAAAAAAAGGTAAAGGTAGTTTGTTAGGCCCTGAATCCAGCCAAGGTCATCAGCTAGTTAGAAGGGATGAAAAACCACTAAGTGGCACATAGCAAAGTGGTCCTCAAACTTGACTATGGCCCAGAACCTCTGGGAAAAGGCTGACTCACAGATTTACAAGCTCTAACCAAAACACTGAACCTGTGAGGGTTGGCGTCATTTTCCAGGTCACTCTGATGCACCTGTCCTAACAGGAGTTCATGGAATGGCAGTTAAGGAAAAACTAACTTGTGACGATCCCTCAGGGACTGAGGAGGAGGGAAAACAACCCACAGCTTCTCAAATGAAGAAGAGTGATGGACAGAGCCTGATTCCCAGGGAGATCAAGTCAGTTACACTTGGCTGAACTCCAGAGTATGTACAACCTGTGTGAGTCCCAAGGAATTCCACACAGCCTGGGAAAATACAGAGATGGAAAATGTAACCTTAGTTCTGTGATTATAAATGGATGGATTACAACAGACATAAATCAGATTAGCAATAAAGATAAACAGAGTGGCTTAACTTCATCTCAGAAGCATGGATGAATGGTTTACAGAACTGCTTTAAGAAGTATGTTTGTCAAGCTCAAATGCAGCCAGTGGTGGGCCAAGAGGAGATCCTGGGAGGGCTACTGGGGCCAGATATACAGTTCACCCCCAGAGTATTAGGTCTACCTAGAGCATGATAGACTGCATCTGGTGGCACAAGAATGCAACACCTCCAGTAGAGAGAGGGTCAAAGCAGACAGGGAGTCGGGGAGCTCTGGACCAGCTGCTCATGGCCCTCTTACAACCTTCGGGGCCAGGCTCTGAAGCCAGTGACTCACTTCATTTGCTGGGAAGTTCTCTTGTCCCTGATCCAGGTGGCCTAAAGCTGAAAGTCAAGGGTAGCTTTATGATGGATAGACTAAGGCTTCAAAGACACACCAGGAGTGGACACACTGCCAAGTGTTCCCTTTCTCCTATCTAGTGAGGAACTCTCACTAGAGCAGATTCCTGGTGCCACTCACGCCTTCCTCGCAGAGGGGCTAACTTCTCTAACTGCTGTTCTGCAATCCTCTCTGCAGGTTTGGTCTAACTATAGGCAGTACACAGCTGACCCCCCATCTGCCACTTAGTAAAGGACACTGTCCCTGCCTAAGGGCCAGGGGCTTCCACTGCTATCCATTTCATAGACAAGTTTATCTCTAGAGTGAAGTACAGTAAGCCCCTCAGGTCAGTTCTTGAACCTGGCTTTCATAAGAAATAAAGGCCCATTTACCTGACTCCTACAGTTTTATCTCTGTAGGTGGACTCCCAACTTCATTCACTAGTTCTTTAAACTCCACATAAATGAGACAGAAGTGATGGCAGGGCCCACACATGGGGCCAGAAAGCCTGGCACCAGGAGAGGATGATAAGGGAAAGCTTTCATTTATAAGAATGTCACCTGTCTGGTCTCATACCTTAAGAGTATAAAGTATTTCCATTAAACTGGCAAATTCAGCAGGGTTATCTTTCTGGAGGTAATTATATTCTTGCCATGGGTTCTTGGCAGAGCTCTTCTTGTCTGTCAAGATGCTGTCCTGAAAACCAGCCAGGCTCCGAGGGCTATAGGAGTCAGACAGATATTTCCCCGCTGTGGACAGGATCCTGAAAGGAAAGTAGTGAGCAGTATGCCCTAAGCCATCTGTCCAGAGCATGCCTCACCAAATCCTTATGAGGCCAACTCAATTAAGGTCTATTTTATAAGGAAATGAAGATATCCCTCTTCATTTAGGAGTGAGCTGGGCCTCAAGTACACAAAAGAAATCAGGATTAACACTCAAAATCATATTTAATCCCATTTAATGCTCATAACACCAGAAGACACCATTTTGCTAATATGGCAGACAGCCTATACAAGGGCAGTGCTCAGCTTGCTGCCATCTGAGAGGGCACTGTACTTTCTCACTACACAGGCATCGAAAAAGTAAAAGAATTAGATGCCTAGGTGAGACACCGGCCCCCGGAGAACAGGGACAGTGGCTCACTACACGTCCCTACCTGTAACACATTAACCCCACAGGCTGGACTATGATGTTGGTACTTGTTGGTACCACAAGTTTCCTTCTGTGGCCTGGATGCTACAGAGAGATCTACTAAGAGAAGCTGGCACTTTTCAACTGAATCTTCATGAAAGAAAAATGCCTCAGGAGCTTCTCTGTGATGTTCCACCTGTGGTACTGCTGGGGAGGCTGAATCTCTCCCTCCAGCCTCTTTCCCTCAGCCTACTCTTTCACTCAGCTGCCATACTTAACTGCATATAGAATTGTAGGAAAAGAAGCATTATGATAAACCCTAAATATGGCTAACTCCCTGACCTCTCCTTTGAAATGTTTCTTATGAAAGCAATTGTGTTAGAGATGGCAATTTTTAAGCTGCACACACTTTTTCAAAAAACAGGTCCCTAGGCTGGGAAGGATGGCACATAACTGTAACTCCAGCACTCAGGAGGTTGAGGCAGGATTACTGATTTTGAGGTTAGCCTAAGATATATTGAGAGACCCTGTCACAATAAAACAAAACAGGCAGGTGTGGTGGTACAGGCAGAGCTCTGTGAGTCAAGGTCAACAAGGCTACACAGGGAGACCCTGTCCAAAAACAAAACAAAAACAATAAAATGGGTCCCCTACATTTGCCAAGGAATACCTGTTCTTGCAAAATCAGTTTTACCGATAGGGGCTTCTCAGAAACCAATGCCAAATTAAGCAGCTTTCCACCTCTACCATTAAGATTCAAGTTAAGGGGCTGGAGAGATGGCTCAGGGGTTAAGAACACTGGCTGCTCTTGAAGAGGACCCCCACATGGCAGAAAACTGTCCATAACTCCAATGCCAGGGGATCTGATGCTCTTTCTGACCTCCATGGGCATTACATGACATAGGTACACTTACATGCATGCAGGCAATACACTCATACACATAAAATATTTTAAAGTGTCAGGATTAACACAATTCCAACCCCACAGAATTAATGGCATCTGTTCCTGGCCTACTCTCCGTCCAGACATCATTAGGTGACCTCATCACTAGCACTTGATTGTCTATTATGTGATGAACTGAACCTCACTGATTGAACACTTGATTTCTTCAAAGAAATGTTTTCTTATCACTGTAAAGGCCTCTAAAGCTCAATTGGAATATTGGATAGTTTAAACCAGTCCTTACCCTCAAGAAACTCAGAGATTAATGGCAGAGGTCAACATGTACCAATGTGCAAATTGATGAGCCTGGAGATTTCAATATGTGTGCTAGGCAGGAACATCGCAATTCCATCTATTTCTTCAATTCATTTCTCTTCATGACAAGTTATTTTCCCCCTCAGTCACAGAAGCCTATACATTTACACTGAATTCCCAATATGACTGTCCATTTGGACTGTCCTTCAAGGATCTGTTCCTGGTAAAAATGCAAATGCTTGTAGACTCACAATGGGGCTGTGATCCAATAAACCCTCATAAGCTGAACATAGCCCAAGTCCTTAAGCTAGAGCATCTTAGCTCAGCAGTGATAGAGGGACTGAGAGCTGTTGGCTGGCTCCACCCCTAGGACTGTGAGAGAGTCATAGCCCAAACAATGCTAATCCAGAAAATGCCTACATTGGAAATACAGTTTCTCTTGAATACACCAACATACTGTCAAAGCATCCTAATTAGAACCATCATAACTCAGGGGTGTTTGTACCAGTGTTCTAAAACTAAGTGGTGAGCACCAGGAAATGAAGAAAAACTACACCAATCTCCCTGTATCTCACCCAAATACCCAGGACAAGAAATGACACCCAATCTAGCCCTGCTTTCTATAGCCCATAAGCCACAAAATGATCCCCTTTTGCAAAGAGTGTTTTCGTTCTTGTTGTTTGTTTTAGTTTTTCTGAGACAGGGTCTCCCTGTAGCCCCAGCTGGCCTGGAATTTGCTATGTAGGCTAGGCTGGTCTCAAACTCACAGAGATCTGTTTGTCTCTGCCTCCCAAGCGCTGCAATTAAAAGCGTGGGCCATCACACCTGGCTACAATGAGGAGATCTTAAGAGTGGACAGCCAATGTCAGTCTTATCACTGAAGCAGGCTGGAACATTCTGAGTGGCTGCCTTTGCCATGCAGTGTGCCCACCAATGAGGAGTGGTTATGCTAGGAGTCTGGGTTCTCTGGGTGAGACTGATAGGGAGATAAACAGTTGTCCCACACAGCATAGTGGCCAGATAGGAACACAGATGGTGATTGTCTCTTGCCAGGCTTAGTGCATCCAGGATGATATCATCTCTTCCAGAAGCTGCATGGGTCTCAATGAAGCAGGGCCAGGCTTCCAGGTTCTCTCCGGGCTGCAAAGTGCAGCTTGAGGCTCATATCCTAGCCATCCAGTCCTCTCTCACCTTCCTAACTAGAGCCTTCCTGATCCTTTGAAAGGCAAAAGATTAAGAAAAAATCAGTATGTCTTGAAGAGATGTCTGACAAATATTCTCAGCAGACTAAGGACAGACATAAGAAAGGGCAATGTGGGGTGACACACACACTGATAATTTGGGTGACACTAAGGGTATAAAGTTAATGTCTCTCAGACAATGTCTCTCAGACAGCTACCACTATAAACCTTGGCTTTTTTGAAATTTATCTTTAATTATGTACATGTGTACCTGTGTATGTGAGTTAAGCACCCATGGAGGCCAGAGGAATCAAATTCCCTTGGAGCCAGAGTTACAGATGGGTGTAAGCCACCCAGTGTGGGTGCTCGGGACTGAATTTGGGTCCTCTGCAAGAGTAGTACATACTCCTAACTGCTGAGTCATCTCTTCAGACCCTTGTTATTACAGGCTTTTTTTTTTTTTTTTCAATCTAAAACATTAGTTATCTCAAAGTCTAGCCTCCCTGGCCCTTAGCAGTAAGGATGGAGACAAGACAAGTGCCTACCTCCTTCAGCCACTGGGAGGAACCATCAATTCATCTAGCCTTGAACATCAGAACTCAATAAATGCTACTGAGTAAGGCTGGAGGGCTGCTAACAATATTTTTTTTTCCTGGGAATAAGTATATTCAGGGTAAGTATATTTCCAGGCTTGGGGTAGGGGTTGTATATGTGTGAGGCGGAGTCTTGCTATGTAGCAAGGCTACATAAGTTAGGCTGGAACTCCCAATCCTCCTGCCCTGAGTCTCCTAAATGCTGACTGTAGGTGTATGCTACCATATGCTGCGAATTTCAGTTTTTTAGGGTTTTTTGTTTGTTTCTTCCCCTCCCCCGCCCCGCCACTGCCCACCTTGCTGCTCCAAGTTCAGTTCCCAGCACCCATGACAGGCAGCTTATAACTGCCGATAACTCCAGCTCCAGGGTATCAGATTCCTCTGGCTTCTGAGGGGACCTGTATTTATGTATATATACACTCCCACACATACTCGTACATAAACATGGTTAAAAAATAGAGTGAATCTTTTTTTAAAAAATTAAGTGCTGAATTTTAATCACCTCTTAAGAGTCTTCTATGACTGACCCAGAGCACCCCCACCCACATTCCAACATGGCAGGCTCCTCTCACAGCATGCAGGTGTATATATACATGAGGAAGGTGGTGCCATTGACGTAGCTTATATTATTTACACACAGTCCATTGCATGCCTATGCTATACTGGTTTTAGTCACTCCAAGAAGTTACGTACTTTCTGTGCTGGACTGTGTAGGTGTTCTAGACAACAGATGCCCCCATTCACCCTGTTGTAAGTCTTGGCCCAGAATAAAAACCATCACAAAGCTCACTTGGGTTAAAAAATGAAGAAATGCAAAGAGCTGTGACAAGACACAGTCCACAGAGTGCAGACTCCAAGGCTGGTTATAGACTCCTTCCTCTGATGCCCATCCTGTTCCTACTGGACCTCAGCTTTCATGTCACTTGGTGTTCAAAAATACCAGAACCAAGAAATTACTTTAGGACAATGAAGAATCATCTGAGAAGGAGATCTAAGACTTTTGCTAGTGACTCAACTAAGAAGATTGTATTTATCAAGCCTGGCAGCTTATATCTGCCATCCCAGCACTCAGGAGGCTGAGGCAGGAAGATCATAAGTCCCAGGCCAACCTGGGCTACACAATAAACTTCTGTCTCAAAAACCAAAGAGGGAGCCGGGTGTGGTAGTACACACCTTTAATCCTGGCACCTGGGAAGCAGAGTCCAGCCTGGTCTAGTGAGTTCTAGGCTAGCCAAGGTTAAAAAGTAAGACCCTGTCTCAAAACAAAACAAACAAAAATCAAAACTAAACACAAACCAAACCAAACAAAGAAAAAAATACCACTGAGGCCAGTGATATGGCTCAATGGATAAAGGCACTTGCTTCCAAGCCTGGTGAACTCAGTTCAATTCCCAGAACCCACATGGTAGATGATGGAGAAAACCAGCTCCTGCAAGTCATCCTCTGACCTCTGCCACACCCCACAAACAAATACCCACATTACGCTCCTCCACTAAATAACTGTTTTAAAATACACACACCTGCCAGGCATGGTGGCACATGCCTTTTAATCCCAACACTTGGGAGGCAGAGGCACGCGGATCTCTGTGAGTTCGAGGCTAGCCTGGTCTACATAGTGAGTTCCAGGTCAGCTGGGGATAAAGGAAGACCCTGTCTCAAAAAGACAAAAAATAAAATACACACACCAAAAAATCAAAACCACCCATACTGCTGCTTCTTAATTCCTACAGAATGAAGGACGCAGCTGAAAGGAACAAGGAAACTGAGAAGCCTGGAAGGGAAACCTGGAAGCCTGGAAGGGGCCACCACAGGATCATGTAAAAGGCTGGCAGTATCAGAGGACAGACAGGCGAGATAGAATGATTTTTCCTAGGCAGACCCCAAAATTCTCCTTTGACCTGACAGCCCAGAATTTTGTGGCTGAACCTGAAAGGCATGGGCTGGCCTGAAGGACTTAATCATCACTTGTAACATGGTCTCTATGCAGAAATTTACTTTGAGCCAAATAACTGACAATCAGTAGGAACCCAGCCCATTTATAATTGGGAAACAACATGTACTGTTCCTTCATTTATATTGAAATCTCCGTATCTAAACAAGTTTGTGCTACTGACAAGTAGGTTAGGGCCTTGCCTTTCTTAGGTGCTCAATAAATGTTTGATGATGACAGTAATGACACCTTGTACCTAGGTGCAGACAGTTCTCAAGCCTGTGACTTTCTGATTTGACCATCTGCTGCCTTTGTTGTTCCATGTACTGGATCAAGTTTCTCCCAGCCAAGAACCCAGGGAAGGAAGGACAAAGATACCCCTCTCCTACCTGGGGAATGATGGATGACACCCCTCTCCTATCTAGGGAAAGAAGGATGAGGACACCTCTCTCCTACCTGTTTGCTAGCTGCTGCTCAAAGTCTCCACACTGCCGCAACAGCTCTCCACAGCTGGCTATTATCCTAAACAAAACAAGAAGTACTTCAAGTTCAAGCACCTGGAATGCCAACATTTACAGGACAAACATTGTCTCATTCATAAAAATTCTATTTTCTCCTTCTGGTGGTGCTGGGTTCTGGGAAAGGTATGACCCTTTTGCTAGCCTACCTGAAACGTTTCATTTCCTGAAATGAAAAATTATATTTAACACTCATTAAATATAATGAATGTTAAAAGTAAAACAGCCTCTTCCTGCTTACATCTTCCATGTTACTAGCTCTTTGCTATGAATCACAATTCCATCCTAGGCTACCTCAAATATTTCCAAAATCTTGAGTTTTAACTTTGAAAAAATTGGCTGGAAATAGTCTGTATGTGAATTTTCAAAGCAAAATGTACTACTTAATATTTATTCGATACCTAGTATTTGTAAGCATAAAAAAATGTCTCGACGCATGTTCTAGTTTGTTTCTCCACTGTAGTGACAAAATACACAAACCAATACCAACTTGGGGAGGAAAGGGTTTATTCAGCTTACATCTCCTAGGTCACAGTTCATCACTGAGGGAGCCTAAGATAGGAATTCAAGGCAGGAACCTGGAGACAGGAGCTGGAACACAGGCCATGGAGGAATGCTGCTTACTGGCTTGTTCCCCTGGTCCCTGCTCAACCTGCTTTCTTATACAACATAGGCCCACCTGCCCAGGGGTGGCACCATTCAGTGGGCTGGGCCCTCCCACATCACTCAATATTCAAGAAGATGCCCCACAGACATGGCCACAGGCCAGTCCAATGGAAGGAATTCACCTACTGAGGCTCCCTCTACCCAGGTATGTCAAGTTGACAACTAAAGCTGTCCAGCACAACACAGGAAATCTCACTCCACATGAAAGATCAATCCATTTATTTCTGAGTTAAGTATGGTGATGATCATATCTGCATTTCGTAACCTTTTCGTTTTGAAGGACTATTATGCCAGCCCTCAGATTATAGGTCCTTCAACAGAAAACTCATTATGTCTGGACAAATCCAAGGATTAAAAATATCTTATGTCTAGTTAACTTTTAACTTTTTCTAAAAGTGCCTGTCATCACCAGGGTATCTAGGCATTCCATCATAAGAAAGGTTTATGAGAAAGGAAAATGTTCCATTCGTCTCAGGTGCAATGAAGCAAGCTTGTGCTGAGTATTTCTCAGTATGCTAAGCCATCATGAGAGGGGATACAGTTAGCACCCAGAACATCAAAGTCCAGGAAAAAAACTCCAGAACAGAGATCCTGAGGTGATAATGCAAGATGATCCTGACAACCTTCAGTGGGTCTGATTGAGTCCAGCATGCACCTAGAATGTACCAGGACTGTGTGTGACATACCCAGGAACTTGAGCCAGAAATCAGGCAGGAAGTATGAGTGAGTAAAGTGGGCCAGCTGAAGAGCAGCGTGTCTCTAGAATGTATATCCATAGACAGAGAAAAAGGAATTTTCCTAGTCATGCCAATCTGCCAGGGTCCTCAACTGTAGCTCCATCATCATTATGACAGTACTGACCAGCTTATTCCAAGCCTTCAGTTTTGTTGGCAATTTCAGAGATCTAACCTGTGTTCACTCTGCTTATTTTAAATTATGACAATTAATCCAAGATTCTTTTAATGCAATGATGGTAAGAGGTATCTGTAGGTCAAAGCCTCTCCATCTGGACATGTCAGGGCCAAACCTTCTCAAGTCACTGCCAATCAGGCAACAAGGTGTCTATCTGGTGGCTCAGAGTCTGGCTATTGACAACTTGAGAGGGTCACCCAGTTCCTGCTACTGAACTGCAGGATCCTTCCTTATCATTCAATAATGTGGTTCTTAGACCCCAAAACAGGACCCAACCAGCTGTGTTTTCCAAAACATGGCTGTCAACTTTAGCTCTGAAAAAAAAAAAAAAAATACACAAACTGGCAGGGCCAGGGAGATCTGATACCAACTGTAAAACAAGTTTAAATCACTAAAGGAAATAGGGCCTTCACAAAGAACTTTTAAAAGTATTTTATAAGCTGCAGGAGTCTTTTTGGTATTTTGTTGTTGGCATATGGTTGGTTTGGGGTTTATTTATTAGCTGCTTAAATTTGGTCCTGGGTACTAGCTTTAAAAAAAGGCAGTGAAAGAGAAAAAGGAATACTTTATAAACACGTTTACTATTTTTATGGACCATATTATGTCAGAAGGCATTCTGTACAGGTATGCTTACTCCATTTGGCAAAACTTACACTACCAACCCCACATTACCTGATAGAGTTTTGAAAAGCTGTCCAATCTTCCTGAAAAAGGGAGTTGGGAGGAATATCGTCCAGATTGCACTTCTTTCGTATGGATTGGAGAGCATTGGTAAAATCAGACACATACCTAGGGAGGAGGAGGAAAACACCCCTAAGAACATAAATTCCATATTTTTGAACAAATGGCCAACAAACTTACAAATGCCTTTAGAGGCTTCTGCCACAGATAAGAACACTTACAAAACCCAAACTACAGAAAAATCTCCAGGGGCTAAAAAGATGGCTCACTAGTTAAGAGCACTGGCTGCTCCTTGCACAGGACCTGGGTTCAGTTTCCAGCACCCACACGGTAGCTTACAACTGTCCCTAATTCCAGTTCCAGGAAATCTGATGCCCTCTTCTGGCCTCTGTGGGCACTGCACACATATGATGCACTCACATACTTTCAGGCAAAAAAAACCTCATACACATAAAATAAAAATGTCTTTTCCATGTGACCAAACCATTTAATCACTGACAAGGCAGCTTTCAGAGATACTCAGGATGAAGAGGAAAAAGACAGCCACTAAATGGACTCCAGTGATCAACCAGATGATAGGTGCTGCTGCTAAATCACCCTCATCCTAACATATGCATTTTGGAAATATTTCAAAGCACACAACCTCACTGTAAGGCAGTTTGCTGATATCTGGGGTACTTCTGCAGGCAAATCCCCTGAATCTAGATTAGCCATAGCAGGAAGAAGCTGGAAGACCCTCAAAGGGTGTGCTGGTAGCACTGGACAAGGCAGTTTCTCTCCACGCACCTACCACATTTTGACTAAGCAGCTTCTTCAGTCCATGCCTAAATGTTACTACTGTTGTAACTATCTGCTCTACAGTTACAACATCCCCAGGAAATAGTACCAGTCTGGGCAGAAAAGAAACACTGAAAACAGTTCCAAAATGAATTATACATATACACTACAACATTGGGCAAGTACCTCAGTAGCTTCAGGCCTCAGCTTCCTCATATTTAATGTGGACCTAATGTCTTCTATACATTCTTAGAGTCTGGTGGTGATAAAAATCAAATAAATGAAATAACATTCTCTGAAAAGCATTAAAGGAAAGACCTTGGAGGTGGGAGGTGGAGTTAAGTGTATAAATTTCTTGAACCAGAAATCAGAACATGTCCTCGGGAGGATGATGAAGAGGATGAAGGAGAGTCAGGTCCTCTGGAAGTTAAGGAAACCTATGCCATATGGACATCATAGGAAGTCTCACCTCCCATCCATCCTAAACTAAAAGATGAAAACCTGCAAGAGAAAAAAAAATGTGACGCCAAGGGCCTGAAAGGCAGTTTGTGTAGTCCAAGTGTCGTTGCAGCACTCTTCCTTTTCACGGACACAGAATCCTTCCTTCCCATGGAGGGAGATGATACCCCTCCTCTCTGGAAACACATAAAACCCATCCTTCCCAGAGAGACAGACAGCCCTCTTCCTTCCCATGGAGAGATGGCACCCTTTCAAAAAATTTTTATTGAATTTTTGAGTATTTCATATATAAAATCATCTTTATACCCCCTTCTCTCTTCCCCTTTCCCTTGGGCACCCTCCCATAGCTCCCCACTTCAATTCATACATCCTGTCATTTGTGTTAAGATCTATTATGTAAAGTTAGTGTCCCAAGATATCCCTCAGTGCAAGTTCATTCACCAGGGTTTAGTCAGCCTATTTGAGTCTCTCCCTTCAAGAAGATCAGCTCTTCCTCATCCAGCAGTAAGCAGCTGTCAATAATTCTTTGACTAAGATTGAGAATTGCCATTCATCTCCACAGTTCTGTGCTGGGTTTTTGTCTGCCTAAGTTTGCATGGGTCTTGGGCATGCTGCCACCATTCCTGTAGGTTTATATAAGAAGGGTCCCAGGCACATGTAGGACTATTTCTGTATGGTCATGCACCTCCTCCCTGGCTCTTATAATCTTTCTGCCCACTTCTTCAAAGGTCCCTGAGCCCTGGGCGGTAGGACCTCAATTTAGGAGTCCTGTACAAGGACCCACACTCTGCAGATTCTTATTCTCTGCGTTTTGGCCATTTGTGGCCTTTTATGCCCCTGGCCCTCTGTTGCATGAGGGAGCTACATTGATGAGAATTAAAAGATGAGCTCACCTCCCTCTGCTTCCTGGGCCCTGCACGGCCCACAAGCCTCTCTCTGGGATAAGTCGATGGCACCCTCCAAGCCTTGACTTCCCCAGCCTCATTCACCCTCCCATCTCCCCCTCCAGTCTCTCCTCCTAGGCTGGGTCCTGTCCCATTCCTTGTCTTGGTGCCCGACACCTGGGGAACCACCACTGCTTCCTGATCCTTTGCATCCAGACCAACCCAGTGCCTTCTCAGGTCCCCAGGAGCCCTCTGGGCCTGGCTCCGCCCTCACCTCCCTCTGCTTCCCCGTGCCTGCACAACCCACCAGCCTCTTTCCTGGACGCCAGGGCTGACCTTTCCTCTTCCTGATCCTTTGCATCCAGACCAACCCAGTTCCTCAGTGCAGTCCCCAAGAGCCCTTGGAGACTCTTCCTGCCCCCATCTCCCTTTGCATCTCTGGGTGGCAGGACCACCAGCTGCCCTAGGCCCTGCATCTTTCCTGGGCCCTGCTCCCTGTCCAGTCCAACCCCCAAAGTCCTGAGGCCAAAATCTTTCCTGGAGGGATCCAGACCTTAGGAGAAAGCCTGAGAGCATCTGATCCTCATCTGATTTGGGCCTCTGTGGGAACTCCTGAAGACAAAAGCAATCTGGCCACTCCAATATAAAATCAAAAGAGAGAACTGGAAAGTTAGAGGAACCAGCCTTTCATGCCCAAAGAGTAAACCACAAAGACACATAAAGTTCATAAAAAGAAGCAGACCTAAACTTGAAGGCTTGAGTCTCACACAAGAATCAGAAACTACAAAAGAAATTCACATGTCAAAATCACAAAGAAAGAATAATAACATGAAAAACCAAAATAACATATCCCCACCAAATACAAATAGTCCTCTAGAGGAGTACAATGAGAACCCCCTAGAGATAATGCAGGACATTGAACTCAAAAGAACTATTATAAACATGATTTTTAAAAATTCAGTGAATTTAAAGAATACACAAAAAAGAAATCAAAGAACTAAAGGACAATAGGGATAAACTTCTGAATGAATTCAGAAAAGAGTTAGAAATATTGAAGAATACTCAGGCTGAAATGAAGAAGGAAGTAAAACACTCAGTAAGTCAATTAGAAAAGACATGAGAAAGCCTCACCAATAGGATGAAAGAAATGGAAAACAGAGTATCAAGACTGGAAGATAAGTGGACGAACTAGAACACTCAAGCAAAGATTATGAAAAATTTAAGAAATCACAAGAATGGAATATTCAGGAATTGCGTGATACCATAAAAAGACCAAACTTACGAATCACAGGCATACAGGATGAAGAAGAATCCCAAGACAATGGCATGGACCAGATCTTCAACAGAATCATAAAAGAAAATTTCCCAAAATTAAAGAAAGACATGCCCATACAAATACAAGAAGCATATAGAACACCAAACAGACAGGACCAGAAAAGAAACTCTCCACGGCACATCATAGTAAAAACACTACACATACAAAACAAAGAGACAATTCTGAAAGCTGCAAAAGAGAAACAAGTCACATATAAAGGAAAACCCATTAGGATTACAGCTGACATTTTACCAATATTAGCATCTGTCTATTTATTACATACACACATGTGGGGGTGCGGGGAGAGACTCAGTCATGCTATAGCCAAAGGACACCAGTCAATAAAGGACAGAAAAGTAAGGAACAGGAGAGGAGAGAAAGTGATAGGAAGGGAGGAAAGAGGAGGGGAGGGAAGGGGAGGGGAGAAGATTCGTGTCCCATGTTAAGACACACTATCATATCCTAATTCCATTTCTTCAAGTCATGTGAAGCCAGGACATCTTCTGGGCCAAAGGGGTGACTTGAAGAAATGGAATTAGGCTATGACAGTGTGTCTCAAAATGGAAAGCAAATCTCCTCCCCTCCCCTCCCTCCCCTCCCTCCCCTTCTCTCCCCTTCTCATTTTCTGTCCTCTCCTGTTCCTTACAATAGTAAGGAACCACCTTACTGTGGCGATGGTGTCAGCACACACAAGTCTAATCAAACTCAGGCAGACAAAATTCCAACATAGAACTGGGAAAATGAACAGCAGACCCCAATCTTATCTAAAGGAATATTGACAACTGATTACTACTAGATGAGGAACAGCTGACCCTCCTAAAATGCAGACCTCTAGATAAGCTGACTAGATTCACCAGAGAGGCAAATAGTAGGGAGGGGCTGGGGGTGCTGACAACACAGCAGACAGTAGCAGGGATATCAGAGTATAAGAGCTCTAGTAGGGGGAGGAAGGCTATGGGAGGGTGCTATCTGGGAAGTAGGTGTATAGTTGAACAAGATGGTTTGGGATGTTCTGTGTGATACACACACACACACACACACACACAAATTTTTTTAATGAATTATATTTGAGGAGGAAGCATAAAAATTTACATCATGTTATTTAGTAGAGGTGATAAACATTACCATTGAAATCAGCCTGATGACTCTATAGACATACACAGGTGCCAAGGATCCAAGTGCAACCGATTATGACTAGTAATAGATACATACAGGTTAGAGATGCATGCGCCAATATCTCAGTGTTAGTAGCAAAAACAATGAGTCTTTCTGCAAGGAACAATATATTCTGAAATGAAATGGAGATCTTTTTTAAAGGTTAAAAACTCAATTTTATGTCTTACAGGGCTTATACTGAGTTCAATATTGTATAACTGTATTAATTCAACTGTGAACCTAGAAAGTTACAGCCACTTGTGAAAGAGATGGACTCTTGTTCTGGAGTGTGTTACTAAATATATTAATGGTGTAATGAAATGCTTCTTCTAATCATGTATTAAAAGTTTTTTTAAAAATAATGATTAAAAAAAAGATGAATTAGTGTTCTCTACATCCCTGCTATGTTCCATGAGTCTTAGGTGTAGAGGTTGGATCCTAGATGTGCCCCTTAGGCTTGGGCAATCACAGAGAATCTCTGTGTGTGACCAGTGGTGTACCAGTCATAATCTGTTGAA